CCACATTTCAGCTCATATTTGTGTATTTGGTGCTCTTTTCCCGACAATCCAGAATTTTTTGGGACCACCATTGATCTATCACCCCATCTCTTGTATTTCCCTTTTGTATATAAAGAGTTCTGTTCCTGTTGGCCTCATGAATTCTGAGTTTCATGTTTTACACTTCCAAGGTTGTTTTCAGCTGCACAGGTTCCTCTGAGTTATTGATCCAACAACTTGAATCGTGGTTTCTCCCTCTTTTCCAGGAGGTGTTGGAATTACCTGCTGGCTCGTGGTCTGCAATAAAGTTGTGGCTATCATGCTGCACCCCTTCAGCTGAAGGAATCCCAGCAGTCCCTGGACTCCTCAACTGCATTCACATTATCACTGTTTTAAATTAATTTTTTTAAAAAAGGGACAGTTATCTTTCATGAGACAAGGTCTGAGGCAATCCTTGTTATTCCATTTGGATTATCAGTCAGTCCTTTTGATTTCTCTTCCCAGAGTTTGCCTTTCAGTTTGGAAAGAACAGCATTGCTGGTTATAAAACCTCATTTTGGGTTTATTCGTGGCAGAGCCATAAGGTTTTGCTGTGGCTTGTTGTCACCAACATCTAAAAGTGTTGAATTGTGGTTTTAAATTGGAAATGTGCTGGCTTTAGGAATTAATTTGGGAGCCTGGCTGTTCCTTTGCTGTAAAATGTGGTAGCTTCACCCCGAGGTGGATCATGTAGGGTGGTGCAGAGGGCAGAGGGAGGTGGTTTGCTTGGCTTGGGACAAAAGAGAGTTTCTTTGTGATTTTTTTTACCTTAAAATTAGAATATTCTTGTGCTGTCCTAAAAAAAATAGATGTGTTTAATCAAGATTTTATCTCTTGAAGAGGTTTCTTCAGCTGCCAAACACAGGCTGCTGTCAATGATGTAGAAGACAGTGTTGTTCCTGCAGAGGGGATGCTGATTTAGCTTCCCACTCTGGAATTCCCACAGAGGAATGATCTGTTCTGCTATTCCAAGGCCTTTTCCTCCCTGCAGGAAGGAAGGGGCCAGGACCCTCCAAAATTGGCACTGCCTTTAAAAACCAGTTCAAAAGGTGAGGTTCTGTTGTGTGTATATATATATAGATTAAATATTTTTGTTTGTTTGTTTTTTTTAATGTTAATTTAAAGATTGGGATTTTATATTAGGAGTTGTATTTAGCCAACATGAAAATAAATATCAAGGTAAAAATGTGATTGAATGTTATGTATAATTGTGATTTTATTAAGGAAATAAAGCTTTTCAACCCATCTTAGGTTTTCTCATTTCTTTTTTAATGTTAACTTCAGTTTTCCTAAATGATCCACAAAACCTCCAAACAAACAAACAAAGCCAAAATGGCAAAATCCAACCCCAAAGGCACCAAAATCCAAGCCAAAACAACACCCCCCCTGTGTTTGTGCATAAGAAAATACTGTTTGAATCAACTGGACTCATTTATTTTTTTAACTATTTTTCTAAACCTTTGAAATGTTGTTGCAAGCAGGTTCAGGTCTGAATGTCTTTGTCATCTTTAAAAGCTTTTGTGGTGTAATTTCTGACATTTTTAAAACTGCTACTGCCTTTAAAAATTAACAGAATGCCTCTAATATTTCCAAACTTCACATGAATTTAGCAAGTATTAAATTAATTACTGTGAGGAACAAAACACAATCCTCCTCCCCTCGCTTACATAACCTTAAACAAGGATTTTTAGAGGCTTTTTGGGGACTGGCTATGCCTGACTTCTCCAAAACAATGCTTTCCTCTTGCACATTCATCTCTGGATGTCAGCTGGGGAAGTTACCAGGCAAACGGCTTTGATAAGTTCCAACAGTGGGAAAGAATGAGGCTTTAGAGGTTTCTAATGCTTGTGAAAACAATGTAGGAGCAAATTATTTTTATTATCTCTGACTTCTGGAAGCTGTTTGGGGAGTGAAGGAACTAAAAAAGTGGGTTTTTTATTGCATTGTTGGTCCTCACCCAGCAGTGAACCTTACAAAAGCAGGTTCTCGTGTCAGGGAGCTGACAACAACCCAGCTTCCAAATTCCAGCTCCTTGGGAATGCAAAAACCTGGAAGTTCCTAAACATGGACTAACTTTTTCCTGGTAACAGGTGAAAACAATAAGGAATTCTCAATACAACACATTTTTGTGAATACACACCGAGCACAGAATGGTTTTTTTGTGACGATTGGATTGTTTTGGAAAAAATCATGGAGCCAGTGCTTGTAAGATTTAATAAAAATTTCAGTAAAACGTTTGTTTTTTTAACAATCTGAATGTATAAACTTTCTAAAGGTAAGCTGATATACTTAACTACCAGAAATCATTGTACATTCTCTGGAGCTGGTTTTAACGAGGAGAGCTGAACCCTCTCCTGGAGTTTGGGATTTGCCTCTCACCCCTCACTTGCCTGCCTTCACCCTGCTGCTGCTGGAACTCGTGGGGCCGTCTCCTTGCAAACAGCCCTCCCCAAAAACCTCCTTCCTCAGCTCTTTCTTCCACTCCACATCTGCCACCCTGCCTGGCCAGGGGGATTTGCCCAAAAGAAGGCTCATAAGCCCCAAAGGAGATTTTCCCCCTGGACTCAGCAGTGTCCCTGCAGCTCTGGCCTGCCTGGCTCTGGCTGCCTGCTTTGCATTTGGCACCTGAGGTGTGGAGCCCCTGATGCAAACTCTCAACACCTTCTGAGGAGAGGTAGATTTTTTTCAGCCTAGCAAAGTCTTTGCTTGGAATTGCTCCTTCACTCCTGGCTTTCTTCTTTTGCTGCTCATACGGTTTCTTCTCTTCTTTTTCAACTTCTTCCACTGCCTCTCCCTCTTGATTGTTCTCCTTTGCTCCGTCTCTTTGAGGATTTTGTTCAGATTTCATCAGACTTTTCAACTTCTGTTTAAGAAACTCTGTCTCTTTTTCCATTTCTTTAATAAATTCTGAAAAATTGCCTTTTTCCATCAGTAGTTTGCCCCCTGAAATATTGTGGGGTTAAAGAACATGGAGAACATGAAGCTTTAAAAAGAGCAAGTATCACATCCTTATTTCACTGCTTTGGTTCTTATTATTGGTGGTATTTCAATTATGATCTATAATAAATACAACAGTATGGGGCAAGATTTAAACAACATAATTATGCCACTGAATCCAGGTTAATATCTTTATTTTTACTTTTTTCATGGTGTTGAATTTAATTAAATGGATGTAGCTGCCATTATGTACAGTAATGGCTAAATACAGTGCCAGAAAAGTCATGTACAATGCAACAGAGAAACCAGGTGAGATCTGAACTTTTGTCACTTTCTGGCTTTTAAATGGAATGTAAAGATATGCAGGATTTCCTTTCCCTTAATTCACAGCAGATTGCTTGTGTGGAGCAGAATGTACAGCAACTCCCTCACCTGGAAATGAGGGGGCTCCACTTTTCAGGAGGAAAAGGAAAGTGTGTACAGAAATGCATTTTATCCATGCAGGGAATGACTTGTAATGGGTCCTGAGCTCTGCAGAGACTCACAGAATACCCTCAAAATGAGACAGAATCCAAGCTTAAAGGAGAAATAAGAAGTTGCAGGAACTACAAAAGCCACGTAAGGCTTGAATAAAAGTCCAATATCAATGAGAGAAATTCAGATTTCACAGACTCTTCAGAGGTTCACAGGGAGCATCGTAAGCCCTGTGTTTTCTGCCAGCTTTAAAAGGGCATTTTAAGGCCAGATGCTGATAAAGGCTGCAGGCTTAAAAGGCAGAGCACAAACCTCAGGAGTTAACACATCCCAGGTTACAGGGATGTGACCCTGTTCCACCTGGCTAAATGTGTGCCCTGGAGGTCCCTTGCCATTTGTAACATGTTTAGAATGGTGGCACTCTGACCCTTCCCTAAAAGCTTTAAAGGAAATAGCAGGAATGTTTCTAGAAAGGAAAATGTGAATGAGGGAACAGCAGTGGTTTTTTCTTTCCTCTGTTCTACAGAATTTCTTCAGAATAAAGATGTTTACAGATGAGTCCCCTGTGTATAACTTTTCCATGAAAACACAGTGGCTGAGATTTGCTAAAATCTCCTTCCAGGGATCACTGTCATGAGGAGACGCTCCCAGCCCTCACAGTCTTTTCCTTTTCCGTGGAAACACATTCACATCAGTGATGAAGGTTCCCAGCTATCACTTTGACATCAGTGTTTGATTAGTGTGGATTAACAACTGTTAATTATCCTGTTACAAACAGAACACCGAATTTTTACCACCCTGACCAAGAAGTGCTTTGGGAAGAAGAGCAGGGTGGGGATGCCACATCCTGCAGAGCAGCTCTGCTGTCAGTGCAGCACCACCAGCAGCTGTATTTCCCAATCCAGATGATTCTGTGATTTCAGTGACACTTCATTCATCATCTGCAACTAGCTCCTGTCAGCCAGGTGCCAGTGAAGGGCTGACAGAACCACAAAAATTACCAGGACTTCTGGTAATTTGCAAAGATCAGGTGAATTTCTGAGAGAAACGTTAAACCTACCTCTGTGTGTCCTGTTAGAAGTTTCTGGTGTTGGTACTTCCTTGGTTTCTTCTTTTTCTTTTCTACCCCAGGCATCTGAGCACACTTCTCTTGCTTTACCTTCTCCACCCTTATCTCCTCTTTTCTCCTACAATTGGCAATTAAAAGTAAAAATAACAAGGGAATGCTTCTTTAGTGACTTTTAAAAGAACACAATAAGTGCAATACTTATAAAAAGATTAGTAATTTCTATTGCTGTTACATGCTTTACATCATAGCATTTCTTCTGTACTGTAATCACACTCATGCAAAAGCCACATCCAAGATGATGGATCAGGCACATTACTGCAATTTAGGGAATAAGATACAGCTTAGCTGAGAGTTTAAACAGGGGGTTGGATTTGGATCCAGGTCTTTCCCACCTTTTTTAGCTGCATTGGATTTTTCTCTGTATCCTGGTGCTGAGACAGCAGCAGTTCTCTAAAACTCTCTTTATCTACTTGTACTGATCTGTCTGCTCTCAGACCTATTGAAGAGGACAAGCATTAGCAATATAGTAATTTCTGGAATTAGGTTGCTGATATAAATAAAAGATACCTCTGACAACTGAAAATACTACGTATGTGACCAAGAATTTAAAAATATTTTTATAATGCATATCCTAATGCTCTTTAAAAAAAAAAGGAAATAATTTTCTCTGCAGAATCTATAAATGCTGAAATGGGACACAAACCTGGATTTCTGAGCCTTTTCACCTGTACATCAGTGCATTCTAAACATACATCTATGAATAAATTTATATAAAAACGTACTACAATGTCATGTCCAGATTGAACATGTAAAATCAGACAAGTGTGTCTATGCCCCAGAGCCCACACAGGCTGAATTTTTGGTTCCATTCTAGTGTTGATTTGAAAGGTGTGCTATGAAGCCCCAGGGTTCAGTTTCCTAAATTTGCATCTTCATGGAGCCCAGCTCATGGGAAATGCTTAACACTGTCTGAAATACCAGTGGTCTTTGGAAGAGATTCCAAAGGAATTCCTGAAGGAGACGTTCAGAGAAATACGGATATGAGATGGAGCAGATGAGTATGTTCCTGTACTCTGTTTTTGGAATAACTTTGACACAGGAACAGCAGCTGAGAAAGTTGCTACCACCAGAGCAGCAAAACCGGGATCTTACCCACATCCACATCCACCTTTATTCCCAATTTTGAACTCAGAAATCAGAGAAGAAAACACATAAAAATGGTTCGCAGCTGGGCGGTGAAAGGGGTGCTGGTGACCAGCCTGGACTGACTCTGATGATGAGGAATTGGTTTCCAAGCTGCTCCAGTTTTTTCTCCCAGTTGCTCCAGCTTTTCCAGCCGGGATGAGTGGGGCGTTCCCCGGGATCGGGACTAGGGGGCGCTGCCCCCCCAGGTGAGCCGGAGCTCCTGGAATCCATCGCTCCGTCCAAAAAATCCACAAGGAAGCCTCATCCCAGCCCTTTATCAGCACCGCTAAAAAACCCGGCTCCAAATTTCCTGCTGGCAAAAAACTTCTGTGAACGTCAACTATTAGAAAATAATGACCTGGAGAGGTAACTCTTCAGAAATCTGCTAAAGGTAAATTCAAGTCAAGAGTGAAAAGGAAAACAAATTGTCAGCAATTGCTGCTATTGGTCTCCAAATGCATTAACTGGCAGAGAATGAAACATTTTCCTAAAAATTCCAGAGGATCGGGCAACTTTGCTTGGAAGATTTTCATTACAAACTATCATGTCTCTCCCAACAAAGCTCCCTTATCTTGCTTAAAGGAAAGAAGAAATTAAATAATAACAGCGGTTTAAGTACCATAATTAAATAGCAATATTCAATTTCTATTGAATACGAGGCCATATGTGAATAAAATTAAAAAAAAAAAGGTAGTTAAGTGGTGTAACTAAAACAGGAAATCAGAGTTTCATAAAAAATGTGTCTGACTTGGGATGAGAAACAGAAATATGTCTTTTTTTTAATTTACAACTTGAATTACCAAGATTTTCCCTGTAGTCCACTGGTGATTGAGGCAGAGTTAACGGGTTTGCAAAGGCAATGAAGAAGAAAGAAATAAGCAACTGAGCAAGATCTTGAATTTCTGCCACGATTTGAGGAATTCTGTGGGGAGCACTTCCAGCAGAGAGGTTTGCTAAATGCTCTTTGGTTCCCACATGAAGGAAGTTCTAATTTCTGCTTCACTTTAGGAGCAGCAATATCTGAGCAGTGTTTTCCAGAGGTGCTTCAGCCAGGGAAGTCCATGTTTAGGTCGTTCCATCCCAAATTCTGGGTGCAGTGGAGGCAAACTGGGGCACCTCAAACAGCACTGGTCAGTTTTAATCAGCTGAATCCCACTCCAGAGAGCTGTTCTTGGAATGCTGGATAGCCAAGACTGCATGGAATTCAGTCCATATATAAATATATACATATAAATAAATAAATAAATAAAATATTTATATATATATATATATAAATAGAGAATAGATATTTCTCCCCAATATCTATGAACATCCATGTGAAAGTAATATTCTTTACCAAAGAGCTCTTTCTTCCTTGGTAGAACTTAATTTATATTATTATTATTTTCTATTATTCAAGCCTTTAAACCTCATAAACCTTTTCACCTTTTCAGCCCATACAAAAGCATTACTTTGGCATTTAATTTGGAATAAACTTCCCGGTTCTAAAACAGTGGAAGTGTCACTTAACAAGAGAAGAAGATGGTTACAGACATACTTTGGTCATTAGGAAGCCAATCACTTCTGTCCCTCAGGGCTTTTGGCATCCGATTTGCATAAATATTCTGTATGTAAAGTTGCCGATCCTTTTCCTAAGAAGAAATAAGCAACATTAATCTTCTAATATGGATTAAAAAGTACTTTTAACCTACTTAATTTTCCTATGTTGGATGAAACCCATCAGGGATTTCACCTTTTGCCAGACCCACATGGTGGCTTTGTCATTTACTTTTTCCCAAACTAAATATTTTTTGCCTTTACTTCCTCTTTTTCTGTTGGTTTTTTAAAATTCATTTACTCAGTGCCCTTGTCATATGCTCAGTTGGTTTAAAACCTGTTGCTCTGGTGGTGACATGAACTCCAGAGACACATTTTGACATTTATTTAGCAAGATTCCTCTTTCCTTAATGAAATCTTCTTTAAACACAGAAGACAGACCTCAGTAACAATCTCATTACTCCAGTTTTCAGTTGGAAAAAAGAGGTGCTTCATTCATTTGGGAAAATAAGTTATCCTAGAAATGGAATGTCCCAAAATAGGACAGGTGCCTAAAACTATGAATTTGTCAGGTTCAACTCTGTTCTGGCACAGAAATAAGTTTGATAAGCATGTCTGGGGTTTTTTTGTGTTAAATCAATAGAAAATTTTGTGGATGTAAATAGAAAATTCAGAGACCTGGATGCACAGAAAACGGCATGGAAAAGAGATGAAACAGAACTATTTTACAGAAGTGTTAAGGTGAGAACTGCACTTTGGAATAATCTGCATTTTTGGACAGTTTTATGTTAGTGTTCTTGAGACTATGATTGTTCCCATCTCCAGATCTGCACATCCAGGAGGAGATCAGAGTCTGACAGGGGAAAAACACTGCCAAGTACCAGGAGGAAACTTCTGCATCTGCTACACAGGGAAGAGGGATAAACAACACCCCTGTGCAGAAATCCCAACCTCCATGAACCTTCAGGAACTGCCTGTCCTGTCCTTCACAATGTCTGGGAAAACTCTCTTTAACATCATCTTCCACAGATATTTGATTCCACTTAGGGGGACAAAGCTCCCCAATGGGATCACCTTGACAGAGAAATATATATAAATGTGTATTTTAATTGTGTTATAAACACAATTATGAAAAAGCCACAAGGGATTCCAGGTTTTTTGGAATGTGTATTGTTTGTTTCTTTTATTACAAATCATATGACATCCCATTCCTGGCAGGTTTAGGTTTAAATCCATTTAGTTTACCTGTATTTGGAATAAATCAAATAAATCAAATGTTTGATTTACAAGCATTACAAAAAGTGCTGAACTGAACCTATTTATCCCAAAATCATTTGCCTAAAAACCAAACTGGAATTTGAGCAATCTCTTGAAACATTTCCACGAGTCTTTTTGTTAAACTCTACTTTTGCAGGTTGTAATATTTGGCTCATTTTGATTTGTTTCTGTGAGAGAGCTCATTTAAAGTGAGTAGATGAATGTATCTGACCCTAATCTGGTAAAATGGTAACACATTGCTGTGGGTTTTGGTTCAATTTCTGATAGATTAATCTCTGTTTCAATTCATTATTGAACTGCATCTAACAAATAGACTCCACAATGATGTCAGAATTTGACATTTTTGGCTTTTTTAGTAGATTATAGACTCAAGCAGGAAACCAAATTCCACTAGCAAATACTGTAAAAGAAGAAAAAGGAATAGGCAACAATAAATACTTGAATTTTCCTGTAGAGACAGAAACCTGGGTAAAATCTGGGATACCTTAATTTTTTGGTGAACGATGTTAATTTCCATTAGCAAGCCTTTTGTGATCATTGTAGCTTCCAGGAGTTTTTTACTCTCACTTGCCAGCCAACGACTATAAGTGCTGTTGTTCAGCTTCAGCTGCATTTCCAGATTCTTAAAAAAGTGACAGATTTTACCATATGGATGAACTCAGTGTGACAGTTGGAAAATGTAAGTTCTTGAAAGATTTAAAATACACATATGCTAATATAAGGAAATTTAAGCTTATATATAATAACAATTATTATCTTTTTCTAGTCATATAAATAATATTATAAATTATATTGTAAACAATGCATGAAGCTATACTGAAATATCTGAAAAATCAATTTCAAAGTGAGAAAAAAAAAAGTTTAAAGGTCTCTTTTCACTAGACAAAAGAAAAGATTTTAGCATCCAATCATAAAAATAAGGCTGTGCATTATCTTTCTGATGGATTAATTAATACACCATATTTGAGAAGTGTTAAGGTTTTCTATTCACAAAGACCTATGAACTGTGGCAGAACAAGGAGGCTTAGTGCAAATGAAAATTTGATGATTTATTGGGTTCTTTATCTTCAGAACCCAGGGCCATGTACTAAAATTCCAGTTCCTAAAAGTATCAGGTGGAAACTCAACCCTGTGTGCTTTTTATAGCTACACACTCCTGGAAGCAGAAAGTTTTTAAAAGAGGGTCTGAATTCAGCTGTTCATATTTACAGTTTCTCTTAAGATTTTCTGGCTCTTTATTTATTTCTATGAATAATACATATTATATTATGTATTACATACATATTTTAATACATATTATATATATTATATATAATACATACAACACATGAAACAGAAATTAATTCCTGGAGGACCATGGAAATTTCACTCATCCAGTTTTGTAGTAAAATTTTGTTCCTATCTTCTCTTGTGCTGGGGTCAGTGAGGGTAAAGAACCATGAGATATTAAAAGGGGGTGAATTATTTCCTCTTGAACTTCCTTACACTCAGGAGAACACTGGATTAAACAGCACCCAGTGTTACAGGATTATATCAGAATCATTCCTGTGATAGGAACTAGCTAAAAATTTTCCACTATTTCTGCACTGAAATCTCTCCTGCTCGATGATCCTTGTGATTCCCTCCCAGTTTAGGATATTCTACCACCCCACATTCCACAAACACAACAATTTGCAGGCGTTACCTGTATCCTCTCATCCTTTGCTTCCAACGTTTTGTTAAGGACTGACAACCTGTGACTGAGTTCCTCCCTCTCCGCCAGAGCTTTGTCTTCTGACAGCATAACCAAAGTCTTCAGATCACCATTAGTTCTCCTCAGCTCCGCTTCAACTTTTTTGAGCTCCTTGGCCGTGTTTTTCTCCGCCTCCTGGGACATCTTGAGGAGTTTGCCGAGCTCTGTGGTCTCCTTGCGATGCCCTGCCAGCAGCCCTTGCAGGTGGCTCTCGGCATTGTTGTACCTGCCGATGGCCCTGGCGTGCCGGCGGTTCAGCTCTTTCAAAGCCTGGTTCTCCAAGCTCGACGCCTCGATTTTCCTTCCAATGTCGAATATTTCGTTCTTCAGCTCTTTGATTCTGTGGAGCCTGGCTGAGGATATTCGCTGGGCCGTGGCGTTTCTGTCCTGGTAAACCACCCCGCTCTGCAGGGTTACAAAGGAGGAGTTCAAGCACGGGGCTTTCACAGCCGGCCATTTCTTCCATCCTGCTGATTGAGAGCGGAGTAAATTGGCATTGAGAGACAGAAATTGAGACAAATCAATCATTGAGTGTCTTTTCTGCTCACATAAACTCCTACTGCTAATGAACTACTACTCCTAAGCTGCTCATCCAGCTACAGAATTGTGGTTTCTTCACAAAATACCCCAAAAACTCTGTTGTCCAGTGAGCAGCCTGCTGTAGGGGAAGGTTCCCATGGCAGGGTTAGAACAAGATGATCTTGAAGGTCTCTTCCAACACAAACCATTCTAGGACTGTCTGATTCAAATAATTCACAGACAAATGCATTAAATATTTTGTATCTCTGTGACTTTCTGGGGCTGCAGCGGACCACAGCTAGCAGCCAATGGAAATAAATGAAAATAAATCAATGGAAATCAATTTTCAACCCATGGAAATCATTTTTCTGCCTGTAAATAATGCACTTCACTAACATAGCCACTGATGAACCAAGTTCAACCCATCAGAATCTACACCTTGAATAGGTGCATGACAAAAAAACCCCCCAAAAATAAAAAACCCATCAAAAAACAACAAAGTAACTTACAGGTCTGCAAGGACTCAAAAACCAACACGCCCCAAACAGCACATGGTTTAAAATCCCTGCAGCTGGGATTTCAAAGCAGATTTCTATAGCTTTCCAGTCAGCTTTTAATTAAATTACATTTTTAAACCTTAAATTCTCATTGTATAGAACAGGTGTGCAGTTGTCTACATGGCTTTTAAAAAGCAATTAAAAATATATTAATGGGCTACTTCTCAGTGTGTTGCTCCCATTTGCCTCCCCTTAAGGATAAGATTCTGGCTGAATTACTCTAATTTTCTTTTCCTGAAGCAGGATTAGAATTTAAAAATAGTCAAGACTGTAAATCTGAGTGTGTTCCCCTTTTTCAGGCATATATTCAATTTCTCTACAGCTCTCATGGCATTCTCAGGCAGTATTTTCCTATAAAGTTTATTATAATTTATAGATCACCTCATATTTTATGGATAAAACAGGCAAGGTCTTGACTTAAAAAAATACCAGAATAAAAGGACAGATCATTCCAAGTATTTTTGTTGATTCCAGTATTTTCTAAAACACAATTCCACTGCAGGAAAAATACAGTAAGTATTGCAAAATTATCTTACTATTTTATTTTGCCAGAATGGACTAAGAGGATTGAAAAAAAGTACAAATACCTTTCTGCAAAAGCTGTCAGAAATACTGTAAAATGTATTTCATTTCCAGTAGTCATGGGAAAGCAAAAAAATAAACACTTTAGCCAACCGATAGATAACACCTACAAATATATACAATAATTTATTCACCACAGGTAGAGGTCAATAATGACTTTTTGCTGAATAAAAATAATGACCTAAAAAATGTCATTATTTTTTCTGGTCTGCTACTTTCATGCCAGTATAACTTCTTGACAGCAGCATATAATAACAGAGATTATAGCAGAGACAGTGGTTCTTCTGGCTTTTTTTGATTTATTTCCATCTTGTAGCTTTGGTAAATCAAGATGAAATTTTGAAGCTCAGCAGAAAAAGGGCTGCTGCTTTTCCACTCATTTTTGTGCTGTGGCCTGGTAGGATTTAAGGATTTAAGAAAAGATGAATCTAGATGGGAAAAGATGCAGGCATGGAGAGATTCCTCACTGTTAACAGTGGCATAAATTCCATGTACATTTACACATTCATTCTCTGTGCTCATTCCATTGAGGCACAAATTCATTTCATAGGATATACCATGACCCACAAAATGGCTGTTTTCTGGTCAAAACTGATGCTTTTGTGCATTATTTTTGCTCATTTTCCTTATGAAAGGCTTTTTCAGACTCAAACCAAAATGTGGCAGAGCCGTTTTCAGGTCCCTGGGTTAAAGCTGAGGAATGAGGATTGCCAAGGGGCTCCCACATCCCAGGTGATTCTCCCTTTGAATCACTGAGTTTTGTGGATTAACACAGTAAGGAATCTCTCCCTCTCTTCCCTCCCTTTACTGGTGTTTGAAACAGAATTTATCATATCCTTTCCCTGAAAAACTGTTGTCACTTCTTGCTAATTTTTGGAAAAAAAAAACCCAAAGAAAGGGAATAATGATATTTCTTAGAAGAGTCTCATACTAGCAGAAAACAAATTTACCTTTTCTATCACCTTGGGCATGGAGACATGGTCCACATTTCTTTCTTTCCTTTCTTGCCTTATCCTTTTTCTGTGTTTTCTTCTCTTCAGCTCCTGGTGTTTCTAAAGGTTTGCGTCCTCTGACTCTTTCAGGGTCAGCCACTGAAAATGCTCTTGGAAGCATCACTGGGTGAATGCTCACTTGTGTTTTTCTCTAAGAAGTCACCACTCTACCTGGGATTTCACAGCATTTCATGTCATAAAAATAGCATTAATCACATTTTTCAAGAATTAGACAGAAAATCAGATCACAAAATTAACTAATCCCTTAAAACAGCATAAAAACCACCTTAGCTGCCATATTAACACTCTAAGCAGAGGATAAAGAAGAACCTAAAACTATTTTAATACGCTTGTAAAAAGCATGTATTTAGCATAAAATAAATTATTCTAAGTAATTTTCTAGGTATTTCTGAATAATTGCTATGCTGCTTTTTTTTCCCCCTTGCCAAGGTGACTGGGAAGTGCAAGAACAGATCAGTTTATTCGCCTGGCAGAATTATTTAAACATTGTTGTTCTGGTAAAAATTATTTCTTGGGATACGGCTTGATACCCATTCCATTTTCTTATTATTGTGTTCCAATCTATTTCAGGTGAGGAGAAGCAAGTTTTGCCTTGAGCCACAATTGTGGAAAGGATTTAGGGTCTAAACATACCCCAAAGTGAGATTAAAACACAAAAGAGGTTAAATGTTGGGACCCAAAGTTCGACTTCTGTTTTCTGCATAAAAGAGGAAAAAAATAGAAAAGCAGGAAAATATTTGCTAAGAGAGGCTTTTGAGAGTGGCAATGTCACATTCACCTCATAGCAACAACAAAACCACCGAGAAATTCATCTTTGCTCCCTTAAAATTCATTTATAAACAAAAATTCTTACACAATAGAAGGATAAGTTGTATATTTTGTGGGTCTAAAAGGAGCATGGCAACTGTGGAAAGGAAATTTGAGGAGAGTTAAAATGAAGTTTTATTTCACATGGGTTTTAACACGTTCCCTTCACTAACAAAATATGAAACTATTTTCTTAGAACCTTCTAACTCCTTTGTTGGCTTTTTTGCTTTGTGCTGGCATTTCATTTTAAATTAAATTTCTTAAAGGGGAGAGGGGAATTACATAGCTCCCAAAGAAAATTAAAAAATGTAATTCAGGATTGCACAGAACATATTAGGCTGAACCAAAACAGTTTCATTACTCTTAATTCCTTTGCATGAACAATTTTTCCTTGTGGAATACTGAGAAATGCCACAGTCCTGCTAAATCTGAGGCAGTGCAATAACCCACAAGAGATGAGAAATCATATTTTGAGCATTAGGCAAAGCCCAGGTTGGTTCACAGATCTGTATTTGTGTTAAAATTTGATTTGGCACTGCCAACACTTTCTAGGCAAATTGTCTTTAAAGCAAATTACCTAAAATTAAACTTAAAACTTCTGCTTTAATTTGTTTTGATGAGAAGTGTGGCCTGAATCTGCTCATCCAGAGCAGGTGTGGAGAAGTAAATAAAATAGAAAAGGAGAAGGCAGGAAAAGCAAAGGCGAAGCAGAAGGAACAGAGATATGAAATGAAAGATACTGCGGTATAATTAAAAAAAAAGGGGGCTGGAATGGACAAACAACAGGAGAATTTATGTTGAAAAGGTACAGGAATCAAATAATTAGAGCCAAATGCCTGTGTCGAAGATGAAAATGTCCTGGCACCCCATCAGTGTCCACCTGGACACACAATCCAAGACCCAACCCCATGTCCTGTCACTTAAATAAAGTCTGGAAATCAGTGTCCCTGCTGGACACACAATCCAAAACCCAGCTCCATGTCCTGACACATAAATAAAGTCTGGAAATCAGTGTCACTGCTGGACACACAATCCCACACCCAGCCCCATGTCCTGGCAACTCTGTCCCACCTGGACACACAATCCCACACCCATCCCCGTGTCCTGCCATATAAATAAAGTCAGTCACTGTCACTTAAATAAAGTCTAGAAATCAGTGTCACTGCTGGACACACAATCCCACACCCAGCCCCATGTCCTGCCATATAAATAAAGTCAGTCACTGTCACTTAAATAAAGTCTAGAAATCAGTGTCCCACCTGGACACACAATCCCACACCCAGCCCCATGTCCTGGCAACTCTGTCCCACCTGGACACACAACCCCACACCCAGCCCCGTGTCCTCTCCTAACCCCTCTCTGTTCTCCCTGTCCCTCTGGAATCCACAGATGAAGGATCCCACCTTGTCCTGTGTCCTCTCTGGGAATCTCTCCCCAATTCCACTCCACAGTTGTGCTGTCCCCTCACGGCCTCACCGGCCACCATCACCGGCCTCCATCCCTGTGGCTGTGGGAAATGGTGGCAGCACTCTGGGAGCGGGGTCTCACCCTTTTCCTCCCTCTTCCCTCCCTCTTCCCTCACCCCAGACCCGGCAGAGGAGCCTGTGTGTGTATTTCCACCCTCATATTTCAGTACCACACCAGGTTTTTAATGGGAATTTGGCGATGTGGGTCCCGCTGTGCCCTGGCTGTGGAGGCGCCTCACGGCCTGGACGTGCCCTCAGAGAGCACAGGCCGGACCCAGCAGGGCTCCAAACTCAGGGTTAATCTCAACATTCTTAAACTGAAAAAGGTGAAAAATCCCTTCAGAATGAAGTCATGTTTTCCTTGGAGGCTGCACACAATGGGAGTCAGGACCCAAAGCCCTCGGGAATGGCAATTCCATGTGTAGCTTAGTGAGTGTTTTGGGTATGAAACCAAGCAGGAGCGAGAGTTCATTGGCAATTCTGTCCCAGAATCTGACCACGAACATTTGGTGGTGCAAATATTTACTGCTTTAAGGACATGGTGTGGCTCTTGTGGATAATGCTGTGCAGGACCACGAGTTGGACTCGAAGATCCCTGTAGGTCCCTTCCAGCTCAGCTTATTCTGTGATTCTCTGATAAATTATTAGAATCATCACTACGCTGATCAGTATGCTGTGAAGCCCAGGACCATTTCATCCTTTGGTTGTACTTCTTCGGGGCACAAAAAACCAAATAATTTGGAAACATTCTATTCCAAATGGCCAGTCATTTCCCAGGCTACAGTCACATATAAAACCTCCTGAGAAACAAACCTGTGTAATAACTTCAGACAATAATTAATGTTTTCTCAGGGTTTTTTCATGGTTGTTGTTCTTTCTCAGGAAAATACTTTGAAGATGCCTACTTCTAGTAGGCTTGTTGCTGTTACCTCTCAAAAGTAAAAAAGAAATGACAGATGGTGAGCCACAATAAAATACCCATACTTTTATTTTTACTTTTCAGTGCAGTTTTTCAGGATCCCAGTTCCATACATGGAGTACTCCATTTCCAGCTTCGCATACTGGTTAATACAGACAAAAAACATCCTTTCAACACCATTTTAACTCTATTACTATGTAACAGTGTATTTAGTCCTATTTAATAAATTCTGGAAATAAAGTTTTATACTCTTAAGCGTTTTCAGGATCAGACATTACTATATTCAATCTTAGCATGTGAAATATGTTTTTCTAAAACCTAGTCCAGTTTCACCTCTGGCACAGGGTCAGCTTTTCTGAGCTCATGTTGCTCACAGCAGAAACAGACTTGGCCCTTAAAATTTGAAAATAATCTGTGACCATTTAACATTCTTCAAATACCTCTCATGCCCAGAGACCTCCTTTAGCAAGTATGTGCAGGCAGGCACTGAATTGTGGCAATCTCTGGGGTAGAAGGTGACAACCAGATGGGAAAAAAAAGCATCCTGGATAACACAGGAAAATGGGAATATTTTTTGCAGAGTATTCTGGACCTCTTCTTACACCTTGCACCCTGGAAATTTTCACTGGTGATGTGAAAAAGAGGAGGAAATGCAACAACAGGTTCTGGGTACAGTCAGGCAAATCAGAATCAGGCAATGTCCTGGCACACATTTATGTCAGGAAAGTCCCTGAGCCCTGCAGTGTAGATGATGATCTGGATCCTTTAAAGCTAAGAGTGTTCGTAACCAAGGCTTATTTTGATATGTTCTCTGCTGTGATTACTGATGCATCTATTCTCCCCTTGCTTTCCCCTTTTGTAACCTCAGATTTCCAGCTCCAGCGCCTTGTAGCGGTGTGGGAAAGCTCTTTCCTGCGGGACGCAGCTGTGACTGTGCCCATGCAAGCCGACAGCTTTGGGATTGCCCCCAACACGAAATTGCCAGCTCCCCGTCCCTTCTCCCTTCTCAGTTGTCCCTTCCCCCTCTCCCAGACATTTCCCCAGCCCTGTCTCATTGGTGCACTACTCTCCCTTGCCTTTTTCGGGCTGCCACCCTGTCAATCTAATGCAATAAGGCCAGGGGCAGGTGCAAACCCCTTGCTCTGGCTCCTCTTACTGACCAATCCTCGTCCCAAAATACCCAAGAGCCAATGGAGTGGGAAAACCCGGGACCCCAGAGAGAGGGAGAGAGGGCAAAGCTGCCGGATTACAGGGGGAGGAGGAATCCATTTAGGAGCCGGTTTAGCCCGGGAGCTGTGGAACATTTGGATTCCTCCGGGGACCGTGGTGACTTGTGGATAGCAGGGCTGCTCTGCTGATTCACTTCCACCACTGCCAGCATGGTGATCAAAGTCTTCGTCGCCACATCTTCGGGGTCTACAGCGGTAGGTGACTCCTTTAACATCCTCCTCTCTCCGCTGGGATCAGGCTGGGGAATTAGCCTAGGAGATGCCAGGAAGGAATTTGCACGGGACAAAAAAACCTCTGGAATTCTTAGCAGGAATAAACCTTAGTTTTATTCTGCTCTGACCACCTTATTCTTGGAAGTTGTTCAAGATGTAGTGAATTTCTGTCAGTGCAGGCTGGCTTGCCTGTGAGCTTTTGCCACAGTTACAACATTTACATCTAAATTATCTGTCATTTCATAGATTTACTGCTGTTTGGGAAAGTATTTGCAATATATATACACTGAGGAAGGAAACAGTGAGTATTGTACTTGTGCAAAAGCAACGCTAGACTGTTTACAGGAGAAAATAAAGTGTTTTTAAAAGAGACTTTGGGACACTGCTCCTGTAAAGGGGGAACTCTGTCTCAGAAATAGCCTGGAGCTGGATAAAGTTAGGCAGGAAAACTTCATTCCCAAGCCCCTTCCTTTTACTGGGTTTTTTGTTTGCTTGGTGTTTTCTTTTTGGTTTGGGGTTGGTGTTTTTTGTTTTTTGTTTTGTTGGATTTTTTTTCTTTTTGTTAGTTTAAATTTTTTTGTTGGTTTTTTTGGGTGTGTGCCTGTTGAAATGCTATACTGATGATTTTTAGCATTGAGATCTACTGCTGTAGCTGTCAGCAGAGAGTATCAGCTGAAGGGAAGGGCATGTGAATAGTAGGGAGGTTGGAAGTCCGTGGGAGGTGGGAACCGGGAAAGGACTGTTTCCTTTTATATCCAGTTCCCAGATGAGCTCAGATTTCAGTTTTCCTTTGGCACTCTCTCCCTCCCTCCCAGTGACCCGGCTAAACAAACTGGCTGGTGCTTGCACGGAGCTGTAACTACATCTCTATCTCCCTGACATCAGCTCCATTTCTTCAAGAAGATTCCAGAATGGAAAAGCTCCAAAAAATACCCCCTATTTATGGGACCATCATCTGTAGGAAATGAACTGGGGGTCCTTCACTAAAGTTCCAAGTGGAATACTGCTGAGGAAGTTTTCAGTTCTCTCACCAGCCTGTTCCTAAGCCTTATGTTCTAAAATTACTATTGATATTTTGTTTGTTTGGGGGGGTTTTGTTTTGTTTGTTTGTTTTTAATAATAAACTTCAGATACAAGGGGGGAAAAAAGGAAGAACTTTGGAACTTCAGGTTTGGTAGTTTGTAATTTATAATAAAGCATTCAGTGCTCAAGTAGCTTTATAAATTGTCATGTTCTGTGCATGGGCATTCTTCTTGCTCCTGTTTGGCCTGTTCTGATCTGGAGACTCCAAAAGAAAATTATGGAAACTTCACACAGCAGTATTCCTCTGTATTTGCTCCTTTCTGGTGTGCTGGGTGTGTGCATATCTGTAGCAATCTCAGTTTGTGTTCAGATTACTGATTCTGAATTGCAGTGCCAAGTACACCTGGAGCAGTTTCCCACATTTTCCCATGAACATGGATGGAAGATCATTCTTTCAATAGACCTTTAGTGAGTTCTGGTATATATAAAATAAAATTCACACACAAGGAGTTAGCACAAACCTCAATATATCACTAAAATCCTATTCAATAGAAATTTTGTATCAAGCATGTACAGCTTTTCCTGAGAAGAATTAATTTAATCCCTAAACAGTTTATATTGGAAGTTTAAGTTGTCCTATTAGCACTGGTGATCACTTCAAATTTGGTGGCTGATCCCATCAAATGCATGGTGTTGATTTTGAATTTCAATATAAGATGGGCCCAACCTCTGGTGTAAATCAGCAGAGGATCGCTGGCAAAGAATGAAAACCTCTCATTTTATATAGTACATGGTCAACCTATTCACTGCAAGTGGTTTTCATGTTAATAAATACTTTGTGCAAGTGAATGCAATGAACTCAGTGACATTCTGGTGCTCTGGATCAGATGCTGGAATGTTATAATTCACTGTGACTCTGGAGCAAATCTGCAATCTGTGTTTTTCCCTTTGGTGTTTCAAAAGTTTATTTTAAATATCTCCAGCTTTATTATCTTTCTGCTCTAGACTTAGCTGATACTGAACTATTCATTAAGGCAAGCAGAAGTGGAGACATTTATTTATAGCACTAAAAAGCACTAAATGCTTGGCTTGGAGCAGGCAATAAAAAAATAAAATAATGTTGTTGGTGTTTAGGATTTGATAATATCCCCAAAGAGGATTCATGTCTTACACAGAGCAAGTCTTACAGTCTTGCTTCCTGCTGCTCATGGTTAAGATACCTATAAAATCCTTTTATTTCCTGTGGTTTTGGTGACATTTTATGATTTATAATTTTCCCCCCATCAAATCGACATCAAAAGCAGCATAATCAACAAGGCAAGGGAGGAGATCCCTGTGCCCTGCTCAGGTGAGACCCCACCTGCAGAGCTGCCCCAGCCCTGGGACCAGCCCAGGGAGCAGCTGGAGCTGCTGGAGAGAGCCCAGAGGAGGCTCCAGGATAGAGAGACAATTGCCAAGGGCTGCAGGGCCAGGAGCCAGGGAACTGCCTTAATATGAAGGAGTAAAGGGTTAGATTAGATATTAAAATGAAATTCTTCTTTGTGAGGGTGATAAGGCCCTGGCACCCAGGTTTCCCAGGGAATCTGTGGCTGCCCCATCTCTGGAAGTGAAAGTTTGGATAGGGCTTGGAGCAGCATGGGACAGTGGAAGGTGTCCCGGTCCATGCAGGGGGTTGGAATGAGATGATCTTAAAGGTCCCTTCCAACCCAAACCATTCTGTGATTCTGTCATCCAACCTGGCCTTGAACACTTCCAAAGTCCACAACCTCTCTGGCACTTCTTACACTCTAGCTAGATAACATCTATTTAAAACATTTTTTTTTCTTGTTTTAGGAGACTAGTAGCTAGGGATGGTGCATCAAGCTTTGCTGCAAGAAAAACTGGCATTGCTGAAATAATATCCTGCTCATCACTACTTTCCAAGTAATCTATTCCCAAGTAATTTGAATTCTTCCTGTGCCATCAGACACAAGGGAAGGCACAAACAAGCTCCTGCAGTCATCCATTCTGGGAGAGCCATTGCGTGTCCTGTGTTGTTACATCCTAAATTTTCCTCTCTGGGTGCTGCTTCCTGGAGAGATTCTTTTGGTTGCCCACTTAGTGCCACCCACAGCAAAGGTTTGCTTTGTGGTTTCACCCTTGGTTGGGTCCCAAGTGTTTTGCTCTGCCTAAACCCCAGTAATGGTGAGCCCAAAGACAGCACATCTTCTTCTCTGTTTATCTCATTGTCATTGTCATAAACTCCTTGTCTTTTCCTTAAGCAGCATAACTCCATGAAACTTCACTGCTTCACCTCAGCATTAACTTTTTCACACAACGCTTTGCTTTCAGATCTGGTGCTGCCTGAGCCCCCTGTGCATTACGAACCTCAAGCTGAAGAGAAATTATTAAGCCAGGTTTAAAAGTTCCAGTTTTCATAGGCAGAGGAGCACATTTGCATTATCTCCTCAGAGGCACGGTCTGTCTGGAGCAGCAGTTATTCCAGGAGCCCTATCTCCTGCAGTGCCTGTGTCCAAAGGGACAGGCTGACCCTGGAATTGCAGCTGACAGCACTTGAGTGGCCTGGCTCTCAGAGCATGTGATGTTACTCCTGCTGTTGGCTCATGCAGATTTTATTAACCATTTGTACAAACATTATCCTGCCACTTTCTCCAGTCAGATGTCCCTTGAGCAATCCTTTCTGCTGCCTGAATGTGTTCTGCAAATAACTCTGCAGCTAAATAGCCAGTAATGAGATTATTTCTGTTTAAAAAGAGAAAATAAGAATAGAAGTAAGCAGCTTTGAACTCTGTCAACTGCACGGCTTTTAACCACTTTGGATTAGTGTTTTCATTCAAAGTGATGTGCTTTATTTAGGTCACTGCAAACCTCTACTTTTGTCACCATAAAAATGTACAGTATTTTATGTTTGTTATTTTTTATAAGCAAGCATATGTGTAGATAGATGCTTCTTTGTTTGTACAAGGAAAAGAAATTTTATCCTTACTCATGAGAATTCATCCTTCCAGGATAATAGGCTATCAATCTACTTCAGCTCTTCTGTTTTATTAGATTATGGAAATACGTAATCACTGACTTACTTCTCATCTCATTACCTGTCCCTCTGATTTACACTAGCTTGGTGTCACTTTAATTTCAGGTGTTCAGCTGTCTGACATATGGAAGACATGGTTTCAAATCACAAGATACAAAAATTACCTTGATGCCTCATTCTAGCTATGTGTGTTGGCAAGTTCTTTAAATGCTGCTTAGGAGTAGCATTCCTTTAGTAGGGAAATATATGAATGTTACATTTTCAGAGTAAAGAGATGGGTTATAAGCTCAATGCCTGCACAGAACCGGTATCAGAGGGAATAAGGGCCATGAGTGAATTTTAGGTGTCATAGAAGTTGAGTGTAACAGGTTTTATTTGTATGTACCCTGTTCTTTGTGGTCCAACAGGAATGTCATTCTGTAATGGGGGACGTATTTAAGCACAGGAGTTCAGCTGTGCTGGAGTTTCGTGAGCCTTAACTCATATTTATATATTATATCTCAAGGAGCAATGGGCATAAACTACAACACAGGAGGTTCCAGCTCCACATGAGGAAGAACTCCTTTACACTGAGGGTGGCAGAGCACTGGGACAGCTTCCCAGGGAAGGTGTGGAGTCTCCTGCTCTGGAAACATTCCAAACCCACCTGGACACTTTCCTGTGTCACCTACTCTGGGTGACCCTGCCTTGGCAGGGGGGTTGGACTGGAGGAGCCCTTCAAATCCCAACTATTATGTGATTCTGACTGTGTGAAATTTATTTATGCCTAACATTAAAGACTAGAGAGAAACGGGGCTCCCAGAAAGCCAAATGTCACATGTGATCGGTGGGAAGGAGGAGGAGGCTGAGGGAAATATGTACATTTTCAGACCTTTACTGACTTCAAGCAGGATCACCTTAAGTATGTGTACATCACATTCCCAGATCTGGGAACACAGTAGGAGGCTTCCTGCTGAGCCTCATTTCTTAGCTGGAGTTGTCACTGCATCCAGGGAGGAAAGAAAGAAGCTGGGGGGTGGGTGTGTGGTAGGAGGGATGTAGTGGCAGCACTCTGGGTGCTGACAGAAAGTGTTGAATCTCAGCTTCAAAAGGTTTGAGGGCTACTGGAGAAGTGAATCCCACTTCAGGAACTTCCAACTTTCAGGAAGAATTTCTTCATAGAAAAAGAATTGGAATAGGCTACCAGGGAGGTTTGGAGTCCCCATCCCTGGAGGTGTCCAAGGAACAACTGGACGTGGCACTCAGCACTCTGGGCTGGGGACAAGGTGGGGATTGGCCAAAGGTTGGACTTGATGACCTTTTGATCATCAAGATCATCAAGCCTCAGTGGGTCTTTTCCAACTTAAAAGATTCTGTAAACTTGACAAACTTGCCTGAGTTCTTTTAATAGCAATTGTTTTTAGAAAACCATTTTCTTTTTAAAGAAGGAATGTTGTTTTCCCTCTTTCCTACCCAGATAAAAAAGAAACAGCAAGAAGTTGTGGGCTTTTTAGAGGCCAACAAGATCGACTTTCAGCAAATGGACATAGCAGGAGATGAGGACAATAGGAAATGGATGAGAGAGAATGTCCCAGGTGAAAAAAAGCCTCAGAATGGAATTCCCCTCCCTCCACAGATCTTCAACGAGGAGCGGTACTGTGGGGTAAGAAACTGTTTGGGCTCTTTTCCATTAATAAGAAGAATCAAACAAATTCCTTAAAACAATTTGAGGTTCACTGTGAAAGAGAAGTTCTCAGGAAACATTTTTTAAACACAGAAAAGCAAAAAAATAGAACATTATTTATGCATGGAGGGAAAACTGGCTGGAGAAACTTCTCGATATTTCAGTTAATTTTGATGGAGAGTGTTGATATTTTGTTTGTTTGGACTTATCTGGGCTTCAGGGACATCAAATAGATATCTGAGGTACCAGAGGCTGGGAATAGGAATCTTCTTTTTCCATTATATTGTACAAATAAATAGGAATGTTTGTTTACTGGAATAGTTCTAGAATGTGGTTTGAATTATTGGTGTTATATTGCTTATTCAATAAATATCCAACTCTTCATAACAGCAGCTGTAGCGCTCATCAGATGCTTTTATATTTTCATATGTGCTTGTAACAGGTTCTTTCTCTTGAGACAGTTTGTTCAAAGCAGAGAAGGATAATAATGTGCCAGCATGAATATGAGGGCTGTGAATCAAAAGAGATAATCTGAGACCTTTTATTTTCTCATAGTCTGGGTGGAAATGCCCAGTCTGGAAAGCGCTGAGATCTGATGGCTGGAATGAACCTGCGAAGTGCTCTGGAATTCAGGGCACACAGTGGGCCTGGTTTGGAGTTATTGCACAAATCCAGTGGGAACTCCTGCAAGGTTCTGTTGGGATTTTCATGCCACTGATTTTTCAGAATTTACTTCAATGCTCTCAGAGCAAAAGTTGATAATATGAATATTGGAGTGCAGCTATTTGCTCATTTTCTCATAGAATTCCTAAAAAAGAAGTTGGTGTGTTGGAGTTCATGTGCATTTCAGTATCCAGTCTGCACCAATGAAAAGTATAATTTGATATATCTTACTCTGGGTTTTGTGGCAACCAGTGCTGCAATAAATATTTCTGATGTTCCCTGGAGAAGTTATATAAGGAATTAAAGAGTAATTGCCTTATGAAGTTTTGCAACTGGTCAGTCTTGATAGTAAATGATAAATACAGTTTTTACTCCATGTCTGAAGCTATTTCAGGAAGCCAAATAATCTATGTCTTGAAATAAATTCAAGGGAAGAAATAGTCCTTTGCAAAAACACTTCCATAGGGAAAGGAGTTGCAGCTACTGATTTAAAAATGAAATCAAATTTACAATTAGTCTAAAAGTCTCCAGAATTTTAATGTACCCAGCTCTCAAAGCTCAGAGCTAATGATCCCAGTGGGTGCACAACAAAGACTAATTTATAGCATCATTATTTCCAAATAAATAAGGTGATGAGATCCATATCAGTGCATGAGCCTTACCCTTCTCCCCAGGGGAAGGTGCCTCAAGGGAGCTGCACAGAGAGTGTGATGTGGGCTGAGAACACGGCATGGGGCTGCCAGACTGCTGCAAAATCCTCCCAGGTGGCATGTTCTACAATAAAACCCCAGGGATTTGCATTCTGCTTCTGTGCACAGCCTGTGCAGGGCCAGCAGAGCCAATGCCCCCAAATCCAGAAGTGTTTTAGGCTGGTTAATGTTTATCTGACACATCTTCCCCTGTGTCCCACTCCTTGGGGCTCAGCCATTTTATTAAAAATATCCCTGAGGATTGCAAAGGTCTGTGTGACTCCAACACAGTATCTTGAATTCATGAAAGTCCTTTTAAAATATATTGCTCTCATCAGTTTTTAAGGGCCTCACTCTTGTGGTACCTAAAAACCTTTGAATTTGTAGCCTGGCTAAATGCAGACAGTTCATACCCATTTCCTGCTATGCCCAAACCACCCTTTAGCTTGAACAGCCCCAATCCAATATATTTGTAAATGGGAATTGTATCCTCTATTAATCTTCATTTTGTTGAGCTAAACAAGTCAAGCTTTTCACACTTTTTTTTTTTTTTGTAAGATATTTTCCCTTTCTCCTTCCTGCTAATTTATATTTTCTTTGTTCACAGCTAGCATTTTTTTTTTTTTTACATCAAATCTGTTACATTTCATTTTTTTGCCCATTCTTCTTTTTGGGATCACTCTTTTTCCACATTTCCCTCCTTATCAATGCTCTTATCAGTTGTTCTTACCAATGTCTGGTTCCCATTCACATGTGTGCATATGTGTACACATCATGATGGCCTGGGAGATCTGGCCTTGGGAAATAAAAAGTCAAGATAAAATATTTCCTTCCTTACCTGAGAAAGAGGGATTTGGAGAGAGGCAATGCAACCTTCAACTATTTTAAGGGCTGCAGCAAAAAGCAAATTATTGGTCTGAGTTCAGTATTGGCCCTGCTTTGAGCTGAAGGTTGGTCTAAGTGGTCTCATGAGGTTTCTTCCCACCTGAATTATCTAGGATTTTGGAAAATATGTTCTGCTACGTGCCCACTGGAGGTGGGACGAGCTGTGTGAGAAGAAAATGCAGCAAAGAAAGTTCAGGTCAGACATAAGAAAATACATAGTTTTCAGGAGATTCCCTCATTATCTCATTAAAGGTGGATCTGAACCAGTGGATCAAAGTGATGCAATGATTCCTGCCTTGGAGGAATGTTCCTTTTGCACCTTGTCCAATGTCCTCTTCTGCAATTCAGTGAAATTTTTGGAGTGGTGGAAAGGAAAAGGGGTTCTGGGGACAGGTGAGGAGTCTTCTGTTTGTGCTAGAATAGAATGACATAATAAGAAAACAAAGTCAGTCCCTCTGCACATCTGCTTTTCAGGACAGACATAGGAGAGACATCTTCATTTTCTGGGTGACCATGAAGAGCTGCTCCACTCCACAGCTTCAGCTGTAAAGGGGAGGTTTCTTATAGATGGATTTTTATAAAGATACACTGCCTGGTAGCATCATTACCACGAGGTCAGAGAATCTTAAAACCGTCTGATAAAATAGCTCAGATCTTATTTTTCTCTCAGATCTTTGGTATTGTCACTTGAAGAAATAGATTAGAAATTGATTTCTTTTGTATGCTTGGTTCTAGCACCAATTTCAAGTATCCATTCTAATCCATCAGTGCTGGAAATTATGTCCTTATTTGATCTTTTCTTAAGCTGCTTCTTTGCTCATGTCTAGACAGACGTCTGCATCTGTGTCATTGCTAAATATATTGAGCACTCTGTTGCTCCTGTCTTTGCTTAACAAAAACCTAGGAAAGAAATGAAAGGTAAACTTGTTTTCCTTTGTAAACTGAAATCTCTGCTTTCTTCTGTAAACTGAACTCCGTAGAATAAAGTACTCTTGTACGTACTTCAAAAAACATCTCTGAATTATTAAGACATTCATTTGATGTTGGAATGTGCATTTGCAGCCCAGAAAGCCAATTGTGTCCTGAGCTGCATCCAGAGCAGGGTGGGCAGAGGTGAGGAGGGGATTGTGTCCCTGTGCCCTGCTCAGGTGAGACCCCACCTGCAGAGCTGTCCCCAGCCCTGGGACCAGCCCAGGGAGCAGCTGGAGCTGCTGGAGAGAGCCCAGAGGAGGCTCCAGGATGAGCAGAGGGATGGAGCAGCTCTGCTGGCAGCAAAGGCTGGCCCAGCTGCCATTGTTCAGCCTGGCCAGGAGAAGCTTTGGGCTGAGCTCAGGGTGGCCTTGCAGGGCCTGAAGGAGCCCCAGGAAAGCTGGAGAGAAACAATTGCCAAGGGCTGCAGGGCCAGGAGCCAGGGAATGACTGCCAGGGGCAGAGGGCAGGGCTGGATCTTGGGATCTTGGGCAGGAATTGTTCCCTGGCAGGGTGGGCAGGGGCTGGGATGGAATTGCCAGAGCAGCTGGGGCTGCCCCTGGATTCCTGGCAGTGCCCAAGGCCAGGCTGGACATTGGGAGCTCCTGGGACAGTGGGAGGTGGCCCTGCCCAGACTGGAATGAGATGAACTTTATGGGCTCCATCCAACTCAGGCCATTTTATGATTCTATCATTTGTGTAACTGCTAAACTCAAATTTATGGAAATATAGGGACCTCTGGAGGTTTGTAGTCTAGCCTGCTACTCAGAGCAGGGTAGCTTTAAGTCAGCTTATATTGCCTGAGGCTTTGGCTATCTGAATTCCAAAAGACTCCAAGGATGGTGTTTCCATGCCCTGTGTGCTCTCACCTGGTGCTGTACCAAGCACTGGGGGGAAAATTTTTTTACTGATATTCAGTTGACAAATAGCACAACTTAGACTATCTATGTCTTTTCATACAGATAAAATATAATTGCTTACCTGAAATAAATTGTTCCTGCTTATTTCTCTTACTCCTGCCTTGGGAACAGTTATCTTTAGTCATTCAGCAAATGGAGATGTGAACAAGTCACCATTACTAAAGCATGGGTGCAAATAAACCACAGAAAAACTATTCCCTGATCACTGTAGGTATTCCTTTATCTCTTATTTAATTCATGATAGCTTCCTCCTCAGTGTGAGGAAATAAGTGACTTTCCATTTACTGTGGGATGTCATTGCACACTCCCTGTTGCCAAGGAGCCCCTGATATCGTAGATTTTGCCCACTTCTGATAAGGAGTTGTCTGGTCATTCATGTCACTCATGTTCTCAAGTCTGCTTGTCTACAAGGCTTGTGTTTCTGGAGAATTTTAGTACACTTGCTGTGGGCCACTTTTCCTCATAATGACATATAAAATATCAAGTCCACTTCATGGCCTTTCCCTTTTGTTTTCTTCTCTTCGATCCCCAGCTCTTGCCATGTCATGCCATGGTTTCCTCAGGATGCTTTATGAGTATGTGGTCTGCAGGAGGGCACAAGTTTCCCGTGTTTGTGTGGCCATGTCCAATCCCAGCCCTTCAAATTGCAGAAAATCCTCATTTTCTTGCTTGCTGCACTACTCCTAAATCCATGAGCCAGGTGCAGACACTGCCTGGGTTGGATGAGAAGGAGAATCCCACGGCAATGGGAAAACAGCAAAGAGATGGTCTGAGAAAGGGGTGGCCTGGAGCAGCAGCAAAATGTGCTCCAGGGCTTCTCCCAGATGGAGCAGTTCCCTCTGGATGAGACTGTGTGAAAGCCAATCTGTCCCTCAGATAAATCAGAGCAATGGGCTGTCATTTGTCATGTCTGTAAAGCTCTTCCAAACTGCACTGAAATGTCATCAATTCCACTCTTGTTGGCATTAAGGTGACTTCAAACTCATCCACTCCAGCCTTTCCCATAATTTATACTCTGGAAATACTAAAACAGTTTGATAAAACAACTCAGGTCCTAACCCAGCTTTACAAACAAGTCTCAAGGATGACTCAGCACCTTATTATTTACAGGCTTCTATTCTTGGAGTTATTTGGGATTAGAGGAAGGATGATACCATGACCAAGGCAGTAGTGTAGGACTCAGCAGGACATGTGCAGTCCCCTGTCTCAGAGCTGGCTGATTCTGGGCCAGCCACTTCTGACTGGAGATTCTGCTGGAAATTAAATATTTGTTGATTTTTATCTGTGTAAGATGTGAACTGTGGGTTTCCCAGTAACAAAAATAGTGATAGCAAAACTTCCTGAATTGATAGGAGTGTTGTACTGGTGAATGGAGTAAAGAGCATGGAAGCTGTAGCTGTCAGGATGGGAGGCATCCCTCATATTCTCAGTTCCATTTCCACTGAAAACAGGCATTTCATGTAATGATTTATAATTCATTTCACCAGTGCACAAGACAGTTTGGTTGGTGCATGGATATCAGAGAGACCAGCACAGCACTTTCCTAAGTTTATCTGAAAATGACGTAATTTTCTAACCAGACTGCCTTTCTTTAAAATAAAGTTTCCTTGTTACCTTTCCACTTGAGCTATCATGTTGCCTTTTATTTGCCATAAAGAAGTTCCAGAGTTTTGAGGGCCTATTTTGTGTCGTCACTCAGAGCAACTTTTATTTCAACATTTAAAGGGAATAGTTTTGCCTCAGACTGTACAGATGAGGCACGTTAAAATGAGACACTTAATTTTATCTGATTCTGCCATGAATGGGATATAATTAAAGTGTAAGTCTCTGGAGAGATTTGCTCATTTATTCATTTTGTCACCCTGTGTGAAACTCTCTTTATCTGTGTTTTCTTCCTGGGGCTCAGATAATGCAGACAATTGTACAAATGCATGTCATTCTCATCAATGTAGGATTGGCCTGGGCTGGTCTCTTCCTCCTGTGCTTTTTGTTTGATTTTTTTATGCCAATTCTCTGTTGTTTGTTTGTTCCTTTCTTAGGATTTTGAATCCTTTTTCTCTGCTAAGGAAGAAAATATTATTTATTCGTTCCTGGGCCTTGCTCCTCCTCCAGGCACAAAGGTATGCACTTCTGTCCTTTCATGGGGATCATTTATTTGATTTTAATAAAAGATGAACATAGGCAGTGACTCAGCACGTCACATAAGGTGCAGTGACAAGCAATATATTAGATGTTGGAGCAGCAAAGTGTTCTTAGGGGGGAAAAAAGTGTCAGGTTCAGTAAATACTAGAGAATACTTCCTTCTTGCCTTCTTTCAGTGCAGGCTTGTTACCATGGCTCCAGCTGATGGGTTTGTTGTTGTTGTTGACACACAGCAGTGTTTTATTATGCTCAGCTTTTAAACCATGCAGACTCCCTCCCACAATTTCTAGGTTGTGTTGGTTACAAGCAGCCGTCTCCTGCTGCTGGCCACTGAGCAGGGCTGGGATCAGACCCATCCCATCCCTCACTGGCACCAGGGAACTCTCTCCCTCTGCCTGGGGGAGAAAAAGGCTCACCCAGCCCTTCACCAAGTCCCTTTGGCAAGTCTGCCTGTGCTTCTCCATCACATTTTGACAATGTTCTAATATATTTCTGGCAAAAGAAAAACAGTTTATTTGGGATTTTTCCCCCCCTGTTTTTACCTTGTGTTGTTTTTACAGAAACTAATGTTTTGTTTTTTTCTTTATTAGAATCTTGCTCTGATTAGAAGCTTCCTATCTGTGAGCATTACAGCTCTGCTATCCTGTGCTCATGTTAGGTGGTAATAAAATGTCTTTAACGTGGGTGAGCCAACAAAAGAAATTAATCAAGAGAGTGATGAGCCAGAGTGACTGGAGAACTCTGCTGCATTGTGGTGACCTGGCTGAGGAGCTGCCTTGGAGCAGGAGATCTGCCTTTGGTCCAACTCTGCAGCACCTTTGAGTGAAACACCATTGGAAATATCTCTTTATCCTCTTCTGTAAAAGCAGAGGGGAAAAAAAAAAAAAAAGGAGCCTTTGCTAAGTGCTTTGAGAGCCACAGCTGAAAATACAGCCAGGGGAGAGCCCCAGTTGTTATAAATGTCTTTGACACTGAGTCCCTGCATGATAAGGAGAGTGATTTAAACTTTCTGCTTTAGCTGGGCCATCTCCCACCCAGGGAAATAAAAATTACTTGCCTTACCTCACAAGGGTCTTGTGAGAATTCATTTAATTAACATCCACAAAGCCGTGAAAGGCTTAAAGGACTGCAGGTATTTCATGTTATAATCATTATAAAAGATATGTGGAGAATCAGTGAGATAAAGAAAATTGCATTTTTCCACCTTCCCACTCCACGGATTATCTGCTTCTTCATGCAAGGTCCTGGTAGATTCCATATCTATGAAACAAAGTAATAATTTTTTAGAATTCGTTTCTTCCTAGCTGCCAGCAGAGGTTTATTACAGTTTCTACTTCATGACAACTTTGGCAATGTTGAAAATAATATATTTGGTACATTCTGCTGGGCAGATTTGTTTGTCAGTGCCATTGCTAGCAGGCAAGCCTTGTTTACAGTGATTAACTGCTGCCCTGGTGGTGGCTTCAGTCCAGAGAGTGCAAATAAGTGAGAGCGTTTGTAAAGTCCCTGTTAAATGTGGAATTTTGATAGCCTCCCTTTCAGAGTCTATTCGTGTTTGCCAGAGACACAGACACTTCTTGCAGAGGTGTTCCTTCAGCATCTTCCCTGCAGGAGAGGCTGCCTGTGCTTTGTCAAGCAAAGAACTCTGCTGCTCTGCTTCTTCTTCCCCCTCACTCTCTGTCAGCTCCACCTTAGATATGCACAATGCATGGCTCATGACACTGATTTCCAGCAGCATAAATCTGGAATGATAAGTCAGGTGTGGAAGAAATGGTGATGATGACACATATGACAAGCTTTCCTATTAATCCCTTCTTAAGAAATGGTGTGGGTTTTGGTTTATGTATTTATTTTTTTTCTGGAATGGAGTCAGCACAAGGCAGTAAGAATTTACTTTCTAAGGATTTTTACTATGCTGAGACATGACAAAGATTAATATGAAGCTGATACCCATTTGATACCCTTGTCTTAAAACATTCTATTTATTTTTCCATCCATCTTTTGTCTCATACTGCACCAAGACTGGAGAAGTTCTTTAATGGCCATGATCCTGTTTTACAGCACAATCCTGACCAGGAGTGTTTTGAGCTTATTTCCTTCCATCTGAGGAAGCAGATGTACCTTTTGGGGCTCCCTTTGGGGCTCCCTGAACAAATTATAACTTCCCAACAAAACACTTGTAGTTAAATTTATTGTCCATTCATTCTAGTTGCTGAGTGCAAAATACACATCCATTTCTTGTTCTGCTGTTTCTATGTATCAGTATATTCTGTATATTAAAGAGCTTCATCCAGCCCTGAGCCCAGCCCAGGGAGCAGCTGGGGCTGCTGGAGAGAGCCCAGAGGAGGCTCCAGGATGAGCAGAGGGATGGAGCAGCTCTGCTGGCAGCAAAGGCTGGCCCAGCTGCCATTGTTCAGCCTGGCCAGGAGAAGCTTTGGGCTGAGCTCAGGGTGGCCTTGCAGGGCCTGAAGGAGCCCCAGGAAAGCTGGAGAGAGACAATTGCCAAGGGCTGCAGGGCCAGGAGCCAGGGAATGGCTTCAAACTGACAGAAAGTAGGGTTAGATCAGCTATTACAAAGGAATTCCTTCCTGTGAGGGGAGTGATGCATTAGGAAAGTTTTCCCAGAGAAGTTTTGGCTGCCCCATCCCTGGCAGTGTCCAAGGCCAGGTTGGATGGAGCTCTGAGCAACCTGGGACAGTGGGAGGTGTCCCTGCCCATGGAACAAGATGATCTTTATGGTCCCTTTCAACCCAAGTATTTCTGTGGTTCTCTGATTCTGTGATTTTATCATAACAAGTACATCTATTTGATGTAGATGATATTAGATCTTTGATCTATTTGCTTTGAAGGGTGCAATGTGCCCATAAAATCCAGTGACTTTACAAGAAGCCAGTCCAATTTGTGGTGCTTCAGCAAGGGTTTGTTAGCTCACATCACCGTCTCTCCTGTTGTCTCCTCACCACAAATGGTTTTTGTGTTTTCCAAAGCATCATTTAGCAGGGCTGAGCAGAACAGTCTTCTGTGCCTGAGAGAAGCAGCAGACTGTGCTTGTGTTAATAAGTAATTTAATCTATTAATACCAAATACCCCCTCACCTGCAGGAATACCTGGTCTACATCAGGTTCAGGGCAGGCTGGGATTTAAAGGCAGCTGTGCCTTATGCCTGACCCAAAGATCACTCAAATTTGTGACAGATTTCTGAGAAATCCTGTTTAATCTTGGATTAATGGCCTGAGTAGTGATGTCCCAATAGGATGCATGTGTAGATCTGAGCTATAAAAGGTGTAGTTTGTATGTTTGGGGTCAGGTGTGTCAGTCTCAGCTGCCTCAAAAGCTGGGTACATTTTTTTAAAGTTGGCACCATTTTTATGCTCAGTCTGACTCAGTGAACTCAGTGATTTATGCGAGTTGAGGGTCTGTTTTCAAATACTGTACATACTTGAAGCCTTAATCCCACTCTTCTTGATCGTAATATCCAGAATCTTGATATCCCCAAATCTGTAGATACTCAAGCTTAAGTTAGTGGAAGAAGGCTTCTCCTAAATCTGCTTGGAATTACAAATTTGTGCTATGTACTTTTTATTTAAAGAGAAAATGACCTGTCAGCCAATCTTTAGAAATGGTACTTCATTTGGAATTCGTTGAAAATTAAATTCTGTGTTTCTATGGAGAGCCAGTGTAGCAATGATATTCTGAATGTCAGAGTTCTCCATATAATTAACAAGAGCTCTGTGTGTGTGTGTGTTCTGGCAGATAACATGCTGCTTCTAGAGTTTATTTCTTTCAGCTACAACTCTTTTTTTGTGCTTTATGATCTAAGCATGTGATCCATCTGAGATGGATTCACTCAATAGGGTCATTTTAATTAGGATTTTCTCTGTGGTCCTTATGCATTTTATGTCCCAGCCAAAAATACTGAGTGCATGGATTTTAATGAAATGTTAATATTTGTGCTGAAAAGAAATACTTAACCAATTTCAAGACCAGGTTGGATGGGGCTCTGAGCAACCAGATCCAATATAGGGTGTCCCTGCCCATGGCAAGGAATTTGGAACAAGCTGATCTTTAAGGTCCCTTCCAACCCAAATCATGGCCAGTGATTCTATTAATTTAATTTTCATTAAAACTGTCCTTTTCATTAGAGGAACTTCTGCAAAGAAATGTCTGTAACAAGTTGCCATTTCCTTAAGAAAATAATGCATTAACACAGTGTTGCACAAGAGAATTTCAATGTATGTTTGTGTTACTATGTATTTTAATCTTCAAATATTTTTTGGCTTCTGGGAGAAAAGTAAATAATAAACCAAGCCAAATGTCTCTGTAGATCTGTTTCTAATAACAATGCCACCAACATCAGAGTGCAGTGAGCCCACAGTTTTATGTGCACTTGAAATGAGACGATACTGCCAGAAAAAGAAATTGTCTTTTCTTCCTCCTCCTTCCTCTGGCTCCTTCTGCTCCATCCCCGTGCATCCCCCACGTGCTGGCAGAAACCCTTGTGCAGCTGTGTGACAGAGTGTGAAACCAGTGTGAGGTAGAAATGTTTTAATTTTTAAAGCTTTAATCTTCATCAGCTCCTGCTCCTCAGTTCCAGAGCAAGGAGAACTTAGGGACCTTTGTGCCCACTCTCTTCTCACTGCAAGTAACTCAGATGTAAAATCAACTTTCCACAATTCAGGAGAAAATTGCCAGAAGAGCACCAAGCCTTACAGGCAGTCATATTTGAGCAAAAACATCAAACTGCTCTGATATCTGCTTCCAAACATTCCTAAGCTCCTTCCTATCATTTCTGTCCCCATCCAGCAGAGCTTGTCAGCAGGAGGACAGCTCTTATGTCCCACAGCACATCTTGGGAAAAAGAGATGTGCTGTGCTCTCAGCCAGTCAGCTCTGGGGATAAAAACCAGCCAGACATGCCCTGCCCTGCAGAATAAGTGCACTGGCTGAAGAAATCATCATGGGGACACTGGAGGAAGACTTGTGAAGTTTAAAGGACGGGGGAACATGACTGAAGGCTTCTGTTGAACTGTAGAGACAAATGAAATTATGGAAAAGCAGCAAACCCTGAACCAGCTGGGTGGCTGAGTTGTGAGGGCTTGGTCACAGGGATGGGGAAGGAGTTTGTCTCCTCTCAGGGATGTGCTGCTCTTCCCAAAGTGTGTGGGACTCAGGATGACACAGGACAGGACCTCCCCTGAGTGCCAGAGGAACCCACCTCAGATAACACCTCTCAGAAGAGGTCAAATTTCCTTTTAATGAATAAGGTCCTTTACCTCAGATTTTCTACTACAAATCTCTTGTGAAATCTCCCACTGATGATGATTAGAATTGTTCTTCACAGCCAATTTGTACTCGTTTTGCATCTCCCTCAGTACTCTTCCTTGTCCTATCCCTGTCTGATGTTTACTCTGATCTATTTTGGGAGTGCCATCATATCCTCTCACAGCATCACTTTCAACAGATTAAAGCAATGGAGCTTTTTTTGTCCCCCTTTCATAAGACAGGCTCTCCACTCCCTCAGATGTTCCTGTAGCCCTCTCTGCACCTGTTCCAGTCTGAGTTCCTTTCTTGAGCCTGAGTGGCTGGGATGGCACAGAGTGATCCAGAGGAGGTTTTGCCTCACCTCATGCATCTGAGGATCACATTTTTTACCTCTTTCACTGTCACACTCATGGCTCAGTTATCCCATGCCTATTTAAACCCACCCATCTTTTTCCTCCTTGATGAGCATTAACTAACAAGCTCCTAAAGTACAATAGAAAAATCACTTTCTAATCTCTGACCCAGAACTGCTTGTCCCAAATAAGGTGACTTTGCACTTCATGCTCTTGCATTTCATCATATTTTTGCTGTTCCACTCGAGGCCTCCTTTTATCTGACACAGTGTGGGAGCCACTGTGACCTTTCACAGCCACCCAGCTGAAAGGACACCAGGATATTTGTCAAATAAAGAACCTCCCAGGAGGTGCTTGGGTATGGTGCTGGAATAAATGGACTTGACTGACTGATGTGGGAAGAGTTTCCTGATGTTTTTGAGCAAGAAAGTTAAGAGACTAAATGTGAAATCCTTTATTACTTGTTTTCCTGGAGCTTCTAGATGATGTTTATTTGGAATTCATGCTGGTGGAAAAAAGTTGTTGTTTTTTTCCTTGAAGCTCAAATGTGCCATCAGGGTGAGCTTTGGTTTCTATTGAACTTTCTAGAGGAAGGTTAGAGAATCTTCTGTGCTGAGAAGGGCTTGAATTCATGTTTTCCCTGCACAAACCCCACCTGCTCAACATGCCAGCAAGTGTTCTTCTCAGAGGAGAAATACACCCTAAAAGGGGGTATTTTCATTTAAGAGCTGAAGCAAAATTAGAAAAACACTTTCCCAAAATACTTTCCCAAAATAAAATCCCAAAAATCAAGAATTTTGTAGAAATGAATTATTGATTATGTGCCTTGAAGCTTTCCATGACTTCCCCTCTGCTCCAGGAGACTGAAAAGTCTGATGCCACAGAGCAGAAGTCTGATGCCACAGAGGAGAAATCAGAAGCCACAGAAGATAAATCTGATTCTAAGGATGAAAAATCTGATGCCACAGATGAAACTGAGGCACACACAGGAGACAAGGCAGATGAAGGGGCTCCTGAAGAGGCTCAGTCTGAGCAGACACCACCAGAAGATCAGCAGGTAATTTTTCCTTTCTCTTTGTCATCTGGGGGTTTTACCTGTGCTAAGCACATGAAACATAAACCCACAAGCCCTCCTGGTGTGCCCCAGGGTGACTGATTGCAGAGTGTCTCTTGGATGTATTTTCTTTGATACCAGGATGATATGAAACCTGGATAAAACTCCAGGGAACTTTGTCCTGATTCTTGAATAACAGCAGCTGCCTTTTGCCACTTGTTACCCCAAGCTTTTTACTTTATCTTGATGGCCATTGGGAACCAGAGTCTAGTTATGGAGGATAATTTAGGACTGGACATCTGAGTCCTGCCTGTGTGAAAAAAAAATAAAATTGCTGCTCTCAACAGCCAGCATGAGCAGTGCTCATAAATCTGGTTGGGAATGTTTGCTGCAGATCCAACAGTGACTTCCCCAGGCCTTGCAGAATCCCCTTGGCAGTGCAGAAACAGAGGCCAATGTTTTCCTTTCTGTCTGCTCCTGCTCTGGTATTACAGACCTCAAACTGCAGCTCAGGTTGTCGTTTAAGGATGGGTTTTTTTGGATGCCAGCTCTTCCCAGGGAGTCAGACTGGCTGCTGCATGAAGCACTAACACTTGTCAGGCTCTTCTGTGTTTGGAGATCAGGTGTTTCCTGGGGAATATCTGGCACAAATGCATCATCTCTTACATTAAAGATCCAAACAAATGAAGTTTGGTGTTTTTGTTTTTCATCTAGCTGCAATATTTCTCCAGAGGAAACCCCTCTCTGTTGGTCTTTCCCCACTGCCCTTTTTAATAGTGACTGATCTGGTCACTGTTAAGCTGGAAAAGCCCCTTTTCCACATCTCAGCCACTGGGAAGCCCCACTCATCATTTCAAAACAGTGATGAGGAGAGACAGTCCTCAGTGGGAACTAAATTCTTCCTCAAGGAAAATGATATCCAAGCCCTTTTTATGTTGCTATGAATTTCAGCTGGCAGGTGAGTGCCATCAAACTCCTTTCAAATTTTTTTGGCTCATAAGAGGAGCTAAAACTGCTGCCTGGCTTGGGTGCCTTGCCCTTCTGGCTGGCATTCTGCTTTAATGCTTTTCAAATGAGAGCAGAATGCTGGAATTTGTCTGCAAATGTGTCAGGCAGCTGTGTAGGAGAGGTTTTGCACTGACATCATGCAGTGCCACTCCTGTGCCACCAGCACCTTGCTCAGCTTCTCACAGAAAGGATTGGAGCTAAAACTGGAAAATAGATTTCTTCGCAGTTTTTCAGGGAGGGGAGAAGCAGAGGAGAGAGCACAGAAAACACTTTTTGCCCTGTTCCACCACCCACTTCCCGTGTCACTCAGGACAAATCGCTTCAGTGCCGTGGCATCTGCCTGCCTTGCTATAGTTCATCCCAATTATCACTTCTGTTGGGATGGCATGAATCATTCTGTAGGAATTCTGCTATTCTCACTCGCTCCCTACAGACAGCACAGAGGAAGGGGTTAGATGAGAAGAGCAACTCTGAGGCAGCTACAGAGAGATGAATTCCACCTTTGGTCTCTGTATCTCATTTTATGCTTATAAAAGAAAGTGAAAATACCATTTCCTTACCTGAGCAGGGTTTTATGAAAGTAAATACTCTCAAAGAGTGCCAGATTGCCATCAGAGTATCTCCACTGGATGTTAAGTCCTGAAGGATTAGAGGTATTTTCAACACAAAAAATTTGAAAGATGGCAGTTTTATGTTCTATGGCTGAAGAAATACACCAGTGGGAATTTAGTACAGGAATTCTGGTGTTATTTAGCACTGCTTCAAAAACAACTCCCATTTGTGGGGTGTAACCAAGCCAGCTTTTCTCCAGCGGCGTCGCGGGAGAAATGTCAGCGCTGTGGAGAAATTCTGGAAGAGTCTCAGGGAGGTGAAGTTCCCTCAGCCTTCACCAGAGAGCACAGGACAGAAACCAGAGCAAAGTGGGACTGCCTCAGCCCTGGGGCTGCAGGGAGGGTCCAGGTTTTGGGAGGTTCCCCCAGTGCTCAGTAGCAGGGGATGCTCAGTGCGGAGGATGCGGCTCTCTCCGACTTCTGCTGCTGTTCCTGGGAGATGCAGAAATCCAGGAGCTCCAGCTTTTTGTCCACATGGATGTAGTGCCTCCCATGCTTGCTTTGTCTGTCCCTTTGGTTTTGAGTTTCTTGAAGGGAAGATTGAGCTCCAACTCACACAGACCCTGCTGGTCACTTGAGGTGCTGGTAATAAATTTCCTGTAGTTTCATTGCCTGATTTTGACTTCAGATTTAAGCTTGGAGTTTAGAATATTTTTCAAGTGGTGTCCCAGTTAAATCAGTTTTCAGTACAGATTAGGCTCCCTTCAGGGCAAAATTATTTTAGAAACATGTTCAAAAATCATATAATGCAAGTCTGTATCGTGTCTCAGCAATTCCCCAGGCCATATTTAAACCCTGGCACTGCAACTCCCTCCCTTAACTCATTCCATGAGAGCCCAAATCAACTCCTCTGCCTTCTGCACGGCACTGTGACATCTGCCTCTTGTCTTTGGGATTTTGTGTAGGATCAGCCCTTTCCCCCAACAGCCAGCTTAGGATCTAGCATTAAATTCCATTAAATTCCATTCACTTTGTACATTTCTTTCTTTTTTTTTCTTTTTTATCTCTCTTGTCACTTCTGCTCAATCTACAGTCTAAAACCAGCTTGTATTATTTCTTATTCCCTGTTGAGCCAAGGCATCTGCTGCAGCCTACAACACTTAACAGAATCACAAGCCAGATTCTGAATGATGATATATAGCATAGATAAGACTCTATAATGCTGATTATACTTTCATTTTATAGACCAGTTAGTTACCGAAAAAACCCACAAAAACTCCACCTGAACAAGCAAACCCAGCTCCAAATCCTCTTGCTAATGAAGCAGTTTTGATCAGAAGTAACTGAGGAAAACGGAGCTCAGTTTAATGATTTTATAGCCCTTTTCCAACATAAAAGTTTAGCTTGAATATGCTTTGTGAGTTAATTTGGAGAACATTATCTCCAAATGAATCCAGTGAATTCCACATAATTTTCCTGAATTCAGTATTTAAGTTCTGCTGTGTTTTCCCTGTCTGATTTCTGATATTCTTTCTTTAATTTATCTTTTTAACATTTTCTTTTGTATCTCTTACGTAGGAAGGCAAAGAAGAGCATGCAGCAACAGGGGTATAGTATACCTGGATATTTTATTATCATCTTTTGTTTGTGTGTATTTATTTCCTTTTCTGTCCCTTTGCTTCACTCAAAAGCTGGTAAATTCTTATTCATGAAAGTAAATACACCACAGTCATAATCTGCTAGAGATAATGGTTGGTCCTATCGTGGTGTTATTGACTGGGAACAAAGATGGGCCTTTAATCATTAAAAGCTGTAAATGGAAGAGAAATTGTCTGTCACAGAGTCTTCAATAAAATTTGCCAAGGACTCCCATGACAAGTCTATCTTTGATAATCACTGATTGACACCATGCTGTGATTGCATTTTCAGTGTGAAAGACTCGTTCTGGCAATTTTGGCAGTTCTGCCCATAAAGGAGATATTTCCCTCACGACAATTTGTAAGACCTGTGTGCAAATCCTCAAACACTTTTCTGCTTTGCCCAAACCTCCAGGATCACCCAGTGCCAGCCCAGCCCCAGCAGCACCACCCCAAACCCTGTCCCCAAGGGCCACATCCAGACTCCTCTGGGACAATTCCAGCCACTCCAAACCTCCCTGGGCAGCTCATCCCAAGGCCTGACTGCTCTTCCAGGGAAATTTTCTTTCCCAATCTCCAACCTGAGCCTCCCCTGGTGCCATTTGAGGCCATTTCTCCTCCTTTCCCTTAGAGCCCCACTGTCCCCTCCTGGCAGGGAGTTGTTCAGAGCAGTGAGGTCCCCCCTGAGCCCCTGCAGCTCCCTCAGCTGCTCCTCCCAGGATGTGTTTTCCTGTCCCTAAAGCTCCTGGAGAGGCTGGTGAGGGCCATCAAGCCTGGTTAGTTGTACCCTGGCACCACCAACTAATGCTTCAAGCAAGAAAAAATAACCTTTTTCTTTTCTTTTCTTTTTTTTTTCCCTTTCTTTTTTCCTGTGAAAGGTAACTGACTTGAGTTTTGGATGGAAGTTGGGAATATCTGAAATATGTGGCTTGCCTGTGGGCTCTCCAGGCCCTGTGTCAGAGTTCTCATGAGCTAAAAAAGCCACCTTTCCTGGGGGAAAATGCCCAGAGAGGCAATATTCCTTTGGCACAAGAACTTCTAATCCACAGATGTTTGGATTACATTTCTGTGATATTTCACATTTCTGGTTTTTCAGCACTGGTTCTTTAGTGCAATGTTTTTCCCTGAGAAACAATTGAGACCAGGAATCTGATTCCAACAGCTCCATTCCCAAGCAGATATTTAAGCAGGATTTCACTTCAGCAACTCCTGCACAGACAGCAGGTGCCTGAGAGGAAAAACAAAAGTCTGTGCTGCTCCTGTACGACCTGCAATCCTGACTGAAAGCTCATCACTGATTCTTTGACTGGTTATTTGATTATGCCAGGAAGAAATTCACGTCGCTCTTGCAGTCTAAGCAGTTTGTGAAGGGGTGGCAGATTGAGATAAAGCTGATTTATCCATATGGGAGTGTCTTTGGACAAGAGATCTCTGGAAGAGGAGCAGAGGAGCCCACAAAGCAATTTCCAGCTGTTTTTCAGAGTAGAGCTTCATTTACTCCAGAAAGAGAATAAGCAGAGATTGCTGTTTGTGTTACACAAATTCAGATAACTCTTGATTGAAGCAAAGGGCTGTTGTCTTTCATTTGTGTCATTTCTCCTGCATAAAAGAGAGGAATAAGAACTTCTGAGACAGAAACAAGGCTGTATTATCTGATTCCAGATGAATTTTAAATCGTTCAGGAGTCAAGTTCCTGTACCATGAATCTTTAGCTGTTTACTGCCCTGGGAGAGTGCATAATTAAAAATACTAAACTTTTTGTCATATTTACACATATTTCATGTTCCCATTTTGATTTTGAGCTAGAAACAGAACAGTTGTAAAAGCCAGAACAGTTGTAAAAGCAGAGCTCTGCATTTCAAGACTCTTTTTTTTTTCCTTTCAATTCCTATATGGTAACAACAAATATTTTCTATTATAAAAAAAAGGAAGAAGAAAAGCAGGGAGAGGGAGAAGAAAAAGAAGAGGTGGAGGAGCAGGAAGAGTCTTAGTACAGTTCTCTATGACACAATATTTCTTGAACAGGTTTTCAGGTAAATATTGAGACATCAAGCACAGTTTCTGAATACCCTTTAAGTAACATAAACTTGCAATTTTTTGTAATTATTGTTGTGGACGGGCGAAGTGTCCAAGCACAAAGTACCCAGCTGATGACTCAAAAGTAGATTTAAGTGCTGCAGCTTGTCATTCACATGGAATAAAAATTATTCTCTCTTACTCAGCTATGATTCCATTGCAGCTTTTAGGAGCTCCATGTCCCACATGAATTTCTCTCTCAAATTTAATTGAAAACTTAAAATACTGGTAAGAGAAAGGGGCCTGACAAGAAATATGACTCAGTATAAAATTACTGACAATAGGCCAAATTTAAAATCGCAAAACAGGAAGCACCTGGAAGGCAGAGTTTGTCCTGTACAGGTGTGTGAGCACACCAGCACTGCTCCAGTTGTGTCAGCATCTCCTTTCTAATTCTAATTTTCAGCTTTTCACCCTCCTCTGTCCCTTCTCCCCTGCGCTGAAATACAGACCAGAAAATCACTTAGAGACAAGAAACTGAAACAAGAGAGCTGGAATTTCCAGCAGATTTTCCTTTGGGTGATGGGACATCCCCCTGATCACAGATACAGAGTGCTCTTTCTAGGATCCATAGAATCATGGAATGGTTTGGGTTGGAAAAGGCCTTAAAGATGATCCAGTTCAGGCCCCTGCCATGGTCAGGGACACCTCCCACTGTCCCAGGTTGCTCCAAGCCCTGTCCAACCTGGATTCCCAGCTGCCAAAGGTTTCACCAACCAGGTGCTGGTGGGATTTCCCAGCCCCTCGACAGAGCAGGAAATCCATCTCTTCTTTCATGCTGCCTCTCCCAAATCTGGGTTCATCTGTTGCATGGGAATTAATTCATCACAACATTGTCCAAAGTTCAGATCTGTAACATCACAGAAGTGCTGAGTTCTGATTTAATTTTCTTTGTTTTTGTTCAGGAAGCACCAGCTGGAGCCACCCCACCAAAGAAAAGAAAATCCCTTTCCCAAGCAAAGCACCACTACCTTTTGTGCCTGTATGAACACAAAAACATAAACAGAACACAGACACCACTCTGTCCCACCTGCAGCCTTTATCTATATATTTGGTATTCCAGATGCTTGTTAAAATGGATCTCATGTCTGACAGATGGTATTTCAGTCAATTGTTATGTGTTGGGGATAGTTTTGTCCATGTCACATTTAGATTGTGAGCTCCCCAGGGCAGGAACCATGTCTCTCTCCATGTCCAAACACTGCCAAGCACGCTGCTGCCACTCAGCAGCCGACTGCACTCACACCACTGACGTCTTCAGAGGAAAAGAAAATCAGCACTGAAAACTTCAAAGAGGCTTCCTGTACACAAGCCATGTGAGTCACTTCTCCCTCAGCTGGCATTTGAAATGATTGAGATTCCCATTGTGCAGCAGTTTAAATAAATGTGTTTTCTGTCGTATCTGCTCTTTGTCTGCAAAAGCATTAATTTAACTCTGCACAGATGTTTTCTCCATCGTTAGGGTTGTGGGCTGTACAAAGTCATGGAATCCTAGAATCATGGAATGGTTTGGGTTGGAAAGGACCTTAAGGATCATCCAGCTTCCACTATCCCAGGTTTCTCAGGGCTCCATCCAACCTGGCCTTGGACACTTTCAGGAATGGGGCAGCCACAGCTTCTCTGGGCAGCTTCTCTGGGCACCCTGTGCCAGGGCCTGTTACAATAAAGAATTTCTTCTCAGTATCCCATCTAGACCTACTCTCTGTCAGTTTGAAGATATTCCCTATGTCCTGTCCCTGCAGCCCTTGGCAATTGTCTCTCTGCAGCTTTCCTGGGGCTCCTTCAGGCCCTGCAAGGCCACCCTGAGCTCAGCCCAAAGCTTCTCCTGGCCAGGCTGAACAATGGCAGCTGGGCCAGCTGCCAGCAGAGCTGCTCCATCCCTCTGCTCATCCTGGAGCCTCCTCTGGGCTCTCTCCAGCAGCTCCACGTCCTTCCAAAACCATCAGCTCAAGGTGCAGCAGTGGGCAAGAGCCAGGGAAATGCCTTGCCAGCAGGATGGCAGGGCTTTGTGGCCATACAAACCTGGCTGTGCTGACATGTTGAGCAGGTTGTGCAGTCTGGTCTCAGGGAAAACCTGGGGAGGTGAGAAATACAGAAAAAATGGAAGCTGGAGAGGATGAAACAGCTGCTTCATGAGGAGGCTGAAAAGACTCTTCAGTTTGGAGAGGAAGCCAAGGCAGCTACAAAAAATCACAAAGATGAATGCAGAACAGTGAGTCAGAAAATCCTGCAACACCATAATGAAAATTAGCAGACACAATGAAATTAATAGATCAGCTTGAGAGAGAAAAGAGGGAGACTGTTTTCATGCAGTGAGTCAGGGAATTTTGGAATTTGTCGTCACAGGATGTTATGGAAGATGAGAGTGTCAATGTGTCCAGGATGGGATTGGGCAATGTTAGGAACAGGAGGCTCATAAATGGATACTACAGCTTGGGATGTGTCCACAACATCCTTAATCCAAGGAATCACAGATGCTGGGGACTGGGGGGAAAAAGGATTTAAATATATCAGACTTGCTATTCCTGAATAGTTTTGCCTATTTCCACTTTGAAAGACTGAATACCGGCTTAGGTGAGGCACTGATTTTAGCATTTCTTATGTTCCTGCAGGTAATTCCTCTTCCTGGGGAAAATTTTCTGCCTTGATGTATTCCCAGGCTGCCTAAGCTTGCCTAAGCTTGATGAACCACAAGCTCCACTTTTCCCCCCAGAACAAAATCCCTGAGTGCAGTCAGGACATCAGGCAGGGCTGCAGGCTTTGGGACAAAACCCACCACACTTTGCACGTTCTTGTTAAGGCAGAAACACAGCAGTGATCTTCTGGAGAGGGTCTAATCTGGGAAGGCTGGGAGGGAATGTGAGGAATGCTGAGCCTCCCACGTGGGAGGGACACACTGCCCTGGTCTTCAGCTGGTGACTGGGGTGAAACAGCAAGCAGGATTGAGGAAGATCCTACAGCCAGCACAGAAATTTGGGGCCATCCTTGGGATCAGCAGGTGCTGGTCATTCTTCCTGCCAGGAGAAAAGGAGGCTGTGAGTATGCCAAGGATAAACTGGGGCCGGCTGCTGCTTGGTGGTTTTAGCCATAACGTTAATTCTGCTTACATAAGCTTAATACTTTCTACAGTAATTTAGTGCAACAGGGCAAAGAATTCAATCTTTTCTAAACTACAGCTGAAGGAAAATCAGCAGCACGAATTTGTGAGCTGTTGGCTTAAATGCACTTGGAGGAATACTGTCTGCACTTTTGTATTCCTGTTTTACTGGGAGAAGGCAACTGCAGCTGGTTAAGGCAGAGCACATGGCATTTCACAGACCCCAGGAATCCATGGATGCAAAACCCTTCCAGTGCACCCCAGTTACACACAGACCAGCAGGCTGGATTTTTTTTGTGGTTTTTTTGGTGACACTTTGGTATGTAAAGCATTTTCCTTGGATGATTGATGCTTGAAACTTCTTGTATCCTGAAACAAGCTAAAATTAGAAAGGCTTCAAGCTATGCTTCCTACAGATCCATATATGTCATAGGATGTGGCTGTTGGCACTTTAGGATGATTGATTTTCAAGTTTCACAGGCTGCTGAAGTGTAAAAGACATGATTTCGAGTACCATGGCAAGCAACAAAGTGGATAGGGTTCGTCAATTGTTTGTTTCGTGGGAAAATAAATGTGAGGTGCTTCACTGTGCTGCTAATAAAGGATTTGGAACAGCAGGTCCAAAGGCAACTTGGGCCACGGATGAGAGCCCTTCTGAGCCAACAAACTGTGTGAGAGATTTTCTCCTAAGAAAACTCTTTGTGAAATTCATTGGAGAGGAATTAAACAGCTCAGGAGCTTTGCCAGGGCAGTGCCAGCCCCCAGTCAGGGTTTCTGGACACTTTTCCAGCCACCACATCTGTTCATCCACCTTCCAAGTAATAAAACTCGATTCCAGCCTTCTCTTTAATGTGAGAATATCAGCATTAAAGGAGGTCAGTCTGTCTGTCTGCATCCTTTGACAGCTTCAGGAGGCTGGAAATATGCTTGACATATCATCTGGGAAGCTGAGAACTCAAGACAGTTATTCCTTCAGGGAGCAGATTGTGAGTTTTAGGTTTGATGTCAAATAACCTGAAGGATGCTTGTTGTTCCCATCATTGCCAAGCAAGAAACAAAGGGAGGGAACAACAAATCACAGCTGAGACTCATTTTAAGGAGTTCCTCTCTCCATTTAGCTCAGGGGAAAGTAACTCATTGGTTACTCAAGGTGCAGAGCTGGATGACACCAATCAAGGGCACAGGAGTCCAAATCAGGTGTGGAGAACTGTGGTGATGACTTTCAGTCACTGAGAATTTGGGATCATTTAGGCTGGAAAAGACCCTTGAGATCACTGAATCCAACCATAAACTTAACACTGCCAACACCACCATTAAAAAGTGTCCTTAAGAGTCTCATCTTCAATTTTAAATAGCTCCAGGGATAAAAGTAGGAAGAAAGTGTGGAGAGATGAAGGATGAATCTCTGAGAACATCTGGGACTGCTTTAGACAACAACAGTTTCTTTGAGGCACTGTAGCTGTGTCTTTCAGGATGTTTGATTTGTGAAGAATCACCCTGTCACTAGATTTAAGAGAAGCTGAGTTTTGATACCAGCTCATCCAAGCCCATTCTTGACCACAGACTACCCAGTTAACTTCCTTGCACCTTAATTTCCCCATGAAAGGAAGAAAATATTGCAGAGAATTTGCGGGAATTAAAATCAAAGTATCAATGCACTGATTAAAAGATGAAAGCACCTTCTTCCTTTGATTATTTGCTTCTCAGTTGTCCATTCACCTTCAGAAATGATAACATTTTTTCCCCCCATCATATAGATATCTGACAGCCATCAAACCTTCTCCTTCATGCTGTGTTTTCACTGCTTTCTCACCAAACCCTCCTATTAAGCAGGAGAAATGGAGGAGAACATGATCATCTTTCATTCCTTTTTGCTCACTGGATGGCCGTGAAGGTTTCCTCCAACCTTGATGTTTCTGTGATTCCGTGACATTTTACAGCAGAACAGAACTTCTCCATGTTTCCTCCTTCACTGAAAAGGTTTGGAACATTCCTGAGACTGCAGAGGCTACGTCCTTAGAGGAAGATGTCACACAGAGTGCCTTCCTGCCAGCTAGCTGGATATTTTGCTGAGAAGTGTGGAAAAAAAAGCTGTTAGCACCTCTCCTTCCTCAGGAAAACCCAGCTCCAGAAAACAGGAGGCACAAAACAATGCAAGAAACTAGAAGAATTATTATTATTTTTTTTTTTAACCTTTTCTTGTTTCTCCTTAATGTGTAGCACCAGAGCGAAGCTCTGTGGATCAAAGAGAAACCAAATCCCAAAGAAAGGATCTTCTCCCTCTCCACAATCCCCTGACAGGAGGGGGGGGCCAGGTGGGGGTCAGGCTCAGCTCCTAGGTGACAAGTGACAGGACAAAAAGAAGTGACCTCAAGTTGCACCAAGGGAAGTTTAGATGGGATATGAGGAAAAATTTATGCAAGGAAAGCATTGTTGAGCATGGGAATGAGCTGCCCAGGGCAGGGCTGGGGCCACCATCCTTGCAGGGATTTAAAAGCTGTGCAGATGTGGCACTTGGGGACGTGGTCAGTGGTGGCCTTGGCAGTGCTGGGGGAACAGTTCTTGATGATCTTAAAGGCCTTTTCCAACATAAATGATTCCATGATTCCAAGACAGATACCAGGACACATCGGAGCTCAGAGTGCACAAGGAGAGGGTGAGGGTGGCTGTGGAGCCCCTGAGCTGTGGGGCTGGGGAAAAACACGGTGGTTTCTGCCCTGCTGAACTCCAGGATGGGATCCTGGCTGGATGCCATTGTCCTGTCAGCTCCAATTTGCTCTGCTGGGGCCGAGCAGAGGCTGCAGGTGAGCTGGAGCCGTGTGCTGAGCAGTGCTGAGCCCGGCTGTTGCCAGCCTTAGCCTTCAAAATCACATTATCCTGATAAAATGTGCAGTCCTGGAGCTCTCCAGGCAGCACCAAGCACATGAGCTGCCTTCTTTCCCCATGCCCAGCCTGTGTTTCCCTTACCCCCCACCACGGGGATTTCTTTGTTTATTTGATATTTTATTTTAACAAAAGTGAAGCTACCTCCACAATAGGCTCCAAATAAATAAATAAAACAGGCATATTCTTTTCCAGCACCCCTCTGGCTGGGAGGGGTGACAGTTTTTGCATGGCATTGCACATGAGTGATTCCCAGCAGGAATATTGGCTTTCTGTGGGAGCCAGTATTTTTCCATTAGCATTAGAGTCCTGCTGGATTTAAATGATGGCTCGTGCTGCACCCAGTTGAAATGGGTTGAATGGTGGTGTCTGTGTGGTCTTAATCAGATAAATCACTATGAGAAAATTATATTCAGCTTCT